AATGATGCAGTCTTCCCACTTCCCACTTCCCACTAAGAAGGGGGAAAAGGTGGCAGAAAGGGTAGTTGTTTATGCTGGCTTTAGCCCTCTAATGCCACGTCTCTTTCTGGGTTAAATAGAACGAAGTCTTTGGCTTCAGACGGGTAGAATAATCCAGATCTTTTAATTCCAGCAATAAGTTATTTCCATTAACTGTTGTAGCTATGTTTATTCCCCCTATCCTAGCTAAGTATGTATGAATTCTTTTTAGATAAGCAATTTGTATCTTCTGTTGTAAAATATATTTATATAGTGTTTTGCACCTGGCATAGCACAAGTAGAGACCCACATGAAGGTTTTAGGAATTATCCTGTCCATGTGCATGGGTTTATTGTTTCGATACTATTAGTAAATTTTCTTCTTCAGATTCCACTTGAAATTAACATATCCAGTTTCAACATTACTTTTCCTATACCGCCCCTCCCCCTCTTAAATTAATAAAAAATTATAAAATCACAAATGAGATTTATTAAATTAGGAGGTAAATTTGTATGATTTTTGTAAGTTTAAATAATTTTTAGTTAGTAGGGATAGGTTTGAAAGAGTTTATTAAGCACTGTTCTGGCTATGACTACTTGTGTCAAGGGAATTAATCTATCAACATGGGCTGCTTAAAATTACTTTGGAAGAACTTAATTAAGGGTAAAGGGAGTGTGTTGTTGATTAAAAATAATAAGCAAACGTGTTAAAAAGTTATGATAATTAAATGAAGTTTCGGAAGAAAAAAAAACATGTTTCGTGAACGATTGATTCAAAAAACTAAAATAAATGACCGTTTAAAAAACACTTTTGAAAGTTTTGTTTAACGTATATTTAAATTTAAAATAAATTAATTAAAATCGATATCGATATTTTCTGTAAGTTATAAAGAGCAGTTTTTAAAAATATTAATTAACAAAAAAAAAGCTTATATAAGGATAGAGATATATAATACAGTCTAAACAAAATATTTATAGAAGTTTTCCAATGCTCATTAGTTAGAAGAAAACATGAAAAAATACACCAAAGATGACTTCATGTATTTATAATATCGAGTTTAATTTTTATTTTTATTTTTTTGCTAATAAGAGGGGCAAAACACTCAAACAATAGGACATAAGAATTACACCTTCTTGTTCAAACACCACAAGCATCTAAACAAAGAAAGGGAAAAAGGAAAGCGGGAGGAGTATCAAAGCGTTCAATTGGAATACATCCATCTACTCCAAGCTTAGCAACATTGATTGGCTTCTCTACAAATGTAACTAAACCTAATAAATTTAATTTATTTTAACAACTCTCTAATATTAAACAATAAGGCAACAAAAGGATGAGAGTTAGATTGAACGTTCAGAACAAGGAATAAAGCCTCTTTAGAGTCTACTTTAATTCAAGTACTCTGAAAACTTTTGTGAATAACCAACTTGATATCCCAAAACATAGCCCAAAGTTCAGCAGCTAAAGGAGAACAAGGAGAAATGCAACCAAAGAAACTAGCAATAAAATTACCGCTATCATCCCTAATGAAACCACCACATCTTGCAGCCTGATGTTGATATGGGACTGATCCATCTACACTAAGCTTGTAATGACCAAGGCTGGGAGGGATCCACCAAACATGAACCTGTTGAATAAGCAAACCAGAACTAGACTTGTTACTAATTTTGAACACAATTAAAATAATTCATATCATAAATTATTTGTTGAACTAGAGAATTAGGCAAAACAAAAACCTACTGAAAAAGGAACTTATTTCTATCTAACCAAATGTACTAATCATATATCCGAAGATCCTACTCTAATTAGGAACAACAGAATGAGAATGATTAGCTAAATTCTGGTTAAGCCAATTATATAGGCTATTATTAAAGAAATTAGCCCAATGTTCAGGAAGAATAAAATGTTCCCAAACTTGTCTTGCATAAAAATAATCCCAAAGGACATGAATGATGGATTCAGATTCCTCACTACACCTAGTACAGATGGGAGAAGTAGTCATTCCTCTGTCATATCTCTCCTAATTGGTAAGCAATTTACCATGACCTATTTTCCATAAAAATAAATTGACTTTAGAAGGGCCCTTCCACCCTAAATCAACTTAAAAATATAAGAACAAGGTTTAAGCCTAAAGGATATATTGGATAAAAGATCATAAGCATACTTAAGTGAGAAAGTGCCATTATTGGACAAATTCCAAAAAAAATAGATTCTTAACCTTAGATCTGGATGAGGGTTAATACAACTTAATAAGGTACATAGCTGCTCAGGCAAGTAGGCTCTAATTTTATCCCACTGCCAAGACCCATGGGTAGAAAACAAAGTCACAGGGTGTTTAGATCTATAGCAAAAATAAGGAATAGAGAGTAAGTAGAAAGCGGTTTAAAATATTAATATTAATAATTAATTAAAATATATTATGAATATAATTTTTATATTAATTATTACATAAATTCTTTTGTTTGTGACAATTCATAATTCGTTTTCGTGTTCAAATTCACTTCATGAGTGAATGAAGCAATTTTAAGCATGTGTTTTTCTAAAAGAAACAAATCAACATAAACATTATGTTCAAAAGTTGACAATGGCAAGAAATCAGGGTTTTCCTAGAATCCCCCTTTTCTCACCTTGTAAACATAGAGCGAAATTCTCCATCTATTTTACAAGGAACAAAATAAGTATTTTTCTTAATCTAATTATAGGAAATAGATGATAAATTTAAAATATATTAATTATGAAATTATTTTTATACTATTTTTTATTAGTATAATTAAATATATGAGAAAAGATCTTCTCATATTAGTGTAAGTTTAAAATATATAAATAATTTTTTATATCTACTACTCATTTAGTTAAGAAATTAAACATAAATATTATTTTTCTTCTTTCATTTTAAAAATATTTTGGAGGTTGAGAACTTGAAGTATGTTTTAGTACTATAATTTTAAATTTTGATCGCTTAAAATAATTTTAATTCTTTTACTTACTTACTAATTTTATTTTATTATTATTATTATTAGTTTATATAATTGTTCAAATATTTAATTTAAGGATTATTTACTAATTTTATTAACAAAGAGTTTTATTTTAACTTTAAAATGAGATAACTTTCCTTTTCCTCCCATAAATTTCTAAATTTTCATAAAATGGGTTTATCGGAAAATATTTTATTTTACTATTTATAATTTTAATTTTGTATATACACTTCATAAATTTAATAAAAATTTGTATTATTTTTATATATTAAAAGAATCCACTTTACTAAAAAAACGGTTATTCATTTTAAGGTTGTAAATTATAACAGCTATCTAGCTAAATTGTTGAAGATTATATATTTTTTTGAACTTGATTTACATGGCACAGAATTTTAAATTTTATTTTTCATATATAAGTGCATTGACTGTAGTTTTAACCAAATAAATAAATAAATCAAAGGAATAAAAATGTAAAATATGTTAGGCTTTTTCGTTTGTTAGAAGTGATACACTTAAATTTTTTGGGATAACTATTGTAAGTGAAAAATACAAAATCAATTATAATGTATTTTATTGAAATATATAATGAGAAAAAAAGATAATAAAGGAATATGATTATAAATTAAGAAATAGATTCGTGTTAATAAAATTAGTTGAAAATCAATAAAGTAATATTAGAAATTTATATAATAAATAATCAAATAAAATTAACAAAACGTTTGATGTATTAAATACATAAATTAATCAGTGTCATTTTAAAGAACTAAAGTTTTTAAAATAGAAGATAGTTTGAATAATGTAGAAATATTGCCAATATCTTCCCATTGAAAAAAAAGAAAAAGAAAAAGCTTTGAAACAGTCATAAATGGCATGTTTCTATTTTTTGTTTTTATATAGTAGACTCGAAGTCTACGAAACTACAAGCCAAATATATTGTTTTCATTCATTGAAAGACTAAGAAAAAACAAGATATATGAATAGTTAATTTATGGGCAAATTATATTTATATTTTTGTTGTTTAATAAAACTAAGTCACTTTTAATTATTTAAAATTAGTCTTAAGAGCCGAGTTAATATTTTCTAATAATAATAAGTATTATCACTAATACACAGTTGTGGTGTTGTGATTATTGTTATATCTAAATTAATAAATATCAAATTTAATTCTCATTCATTAAACACGCACTAAATAATTTGGAAAATTGATATTATTAGAGCCTATCTGCTTTTTACTATTAAACAAAGTTAAACGCTTCTCAAATTTTCGTTTTATAAAAAAGTGTTTTATTTTTTTTATAATTTGCTGAAACTCTACATCATTAATATAAAAAGATGCTTAAAACCAGTTAATATCAATGTACCAATCAAGTTGACTGGTGCTGGCCATGCAACCCATCAATGGAAAATTGGAAGAAAGTATGGTAGGGAAGAGATCAAGAAATTGACTATGAACATAATAATAATAATAATATTTACTCCAATTATGCATTTGAGGTCTTCTCTGGACTTCTCATTATCAGATAAAGAAATAGGTCAGGCCATTTGTTATCAATTAAACATAAATTATTATTAAATTTACCAAAATAAAATTGTGAGTGTTTTTTAAGTAAGTCTTACGAGCTAATCTGTTTAAATAAATACAAATAATATAATTATAATAATATAAATTTTATTGATTAATCTCAAACACAAAAATAATATTTTATTAAAAAAATGACTTAAATAACTTTTTAATCATTTAAAAATATCATACATTTTAATTTTAGTCTTTATTGAAATTTTATTCGGTTTTAATTTTTATATTTGACAAAAAAAAAGTGTTTAAGATTAAGTTTTTTCAAGAAATAAAATTTTTATACTGACTAAAAGATATGATAATTTTAAGAAATGAAATATTATTTTAAAAAAGTATTTATCATATTTTTAATGTAATATAATTTATTTCCTAAACAATTTTCACTAAATGCATGCAATACACTTATTATATATATCACGGTTCTCACTTGACACATACATAGGCTTTTTCTCCGGCGGTTACCGGAAAAAGAAACTTCGCCGGAATGTGGCAACCAAGCGCTTTTCCCCGTGCGCTTTCTCTGCTTCTTCTTCTTCACTCACTGCTAGCTGTAGTCTCTGCTCAGGGATCGAACAGAACTACTTGGAACACTCTCAGCGGTTCGTGTCTCCTTTCTCTTCCTTCTGATTTTCGTTTCATGCATGTCTCGGCATGAAAACGCACCCAAAGAATAAAATGAAAAAGAGAATTATTCGAAGCTAAACTTAACTTTCTCGAGTGTTCCTTTATTCCGTCTCTGAAAATGTTAGCAACGCACTCTTTTTAACGCATTTTTAATAATTAGTCAAATGTTTAAAAAGTTAAATGAAGTTTTAAAACGTTAAACCGATCACAAAAAATGGGTTAAAAAGTGTGCTACTCTGTTGTATTTAAGAGACTGTGTTATTAGCATTTTTCTTTGTCGAGTTGGTGCTGATTTCACGTCCTGCTATCAGTCAGAGGATGGGTGCATTTCTTGCATGCAAACTTCGATTGAAATTTCGTCGGTGAAAATGGAAATATATGAAGCTGAAAATTGAGATGCTGTAATGTAATGTACTGTATTCTGGTGCTCAGAAATTTATATTTGATTATTTTAGAATTATAGTGAACAGAGGAGTGAGAGTTTTTGAAGTGGAGCCAGGATCAAGTTGTTGAGGATGGTGTAACAGAGTAGTTATCAGAAATTGATAAATCTGTTTTTGCATGTAATAAACGTAAGCTTTGAAAGCATACATAAATGTTTGCCCTGTGGTTCGTTTTCACAATGAACTGTCTGAAAATTCAAAATTATTTAATCGCACTTTGTATGGTAATGAATAATTGAGTAAAAAGAAATTAAATGAGAAAAAAGTTTGTAAGTTCATCATATGTAACAAGGGGAAATTAGTTTCTTGAGCACATTTTTGGCAAAATGAATTGCTTGTGAATTCGAGAAACTCAAATCGCTGTTTGGTAATAATAGAGGGGTGAAGGCCAGTTGCCAATTGAATACAACTCTAGATATAATTAGATGTTGAAGTTTTCTTCCATAAAAAATTTAAGAAGCCATTGTGAATTCTATTAGGCATGTAATTGAATGATTTCTGCACTGTTATATATATAGGAAAATCTTCTTCTCTCTACTTTGTGTCTTGAAACTTACTAGGACAAGTTTTTTGCAGGAAGGCCACCATTGGTCATTGCACGTGGTGGGTTTTCTGGGCTATTTCCTGATTCCAGTTCTGCTGCCTATTATTTTGCAGTAAATACTGGTTTAAAAGATCTCATTGTATGGTGTGATTTGCAATTAACGAAAGATGCGGGTGGGATCTGCGTTCCATATATCAAGCTTGAAAATGGTACTAACATTAATTATGTTTTCAAAAATAAAAGTAATTACCCCGTAAATGGAGTACAAACAAGCGCCTATTTTGCCGTGGATTACACCCTGAAGGAATTGCAATCCAATGTCATCTGTAAGTTCAACTTATTTAATGACGTAACTATTTTGTTACATACTTTCAGTAATTGATGGACTTACTGATTCTTTCCACCTCTTCCATTGATCTAACACCGACACATTTATGTATTAAAATAATTTTAGAAGTTAACAGTAACTAACAACTTTAGGTTAGGTTTGTAATTCTTGTTAAGAGTGTTAGGGGAAGGAAATGGAAAAGAAAATAATTTAGGAAGAAAACCCTGAGTTGCACATCTTGGATTCTTGGGCTTCAGAACCTTGAAGATAGTGCTGCATCCATTCAGAAAGTAGGATATTTATTTCTACTTTCCGACTCTTAGATACTGCAGGCCATCACTTAGCGTATGAACATCTAAATTTGAGACCCAAATGGGCAAAAATTTGGCCTTAGATTTAATAACGTGCAATTAATAGCCAAACAAAACACCATATAAGCAAAATGAGAGACGGCCCAAATAGTGTAGTTGGTAATCACGCTATCAAATTATTGAGATGCCGTACTGCCAAATATAAAAGTAGAAGAAACTGGAACAGAATATGCCTCTCAAGTTTTAAATGGATAATTCCTAAAAATTTAAGGAATGTATAATATATAATCACTGGGACATTAAAAATATACCTCTTTTTGTATATTCTGTCATCCTTAAGTCTATGTTTCATCCAATTTTTTCTTAATGCATCAAAGGTTATTCCCAAGCAAATATGAAATTTATGCCAGAGAAGTTGTGTTCCTGCTAGATTAAGTCAGTTCTTATTTCTTTTATTTGATATCATGCTTACCTTAATTGATTTCTGCTTATCCCTGTTAACTTAGTTCTCGCATGCATATGATCACTGTCTTTGTTTACTATTGTGGTGATAGCTGTCATTTTGATGATTTAGTCTCTTTGCAGCTTGTACATTAATGACAAATGCGTTTGGCCTAGTGATGTATTGTTTGTGAGTGATGTATTCAATTAGGTAATAGAAATTGGCATTTTCTAGAGGTCTCTGGTCATAAAATATATACCCAATTTTCCTTATTACACTCTTAGTATGGGACATGGGTTATGATGATGATAATAGAACAAAAGCTAGTCTTTTCATAGATTTTGTGACAAATTCACTTGTTCAGTATTTATAAATGTATTGAGATCTTCAACCCCGTTGTCCAAAATCCAAAATAATAAGGGTGCATATCCTGTTCATTAGTTGTTTACCAACTGTGAAGTGTTACAGTAGTTATCTACGTTTTACTCATCAGTTGGTGTGTAATTTCTCTGTATCTTTTGCTTTTGTGCCTTATATATAGATAGTTGCTAACTGTTTTCATTACTGGACAGTGGTTCAGGGAGTATACTCTCGAACAAACAGGTTTGATGGAAGATTAAATGAAATTCTTACTATCAATGACTTGGTTAAAGAAGCAGCCCCACCAGGATTGTGGTTGAATATTCAGGTAAATGGAAGGCACAATCCCTTTTCATCATCCAGTATTCTAGTTTTTCCAGAACTAAGACTTGTTTTTCTGGTGTTTTGCAGCATGATGCATTCTACGCAAAACACAATTTGAGCATGAGAAACTTCGTGCTTTCTGTTTCTAGAACAGTAAAAATCCGTTACATCTCATCACCTGAAGCTGGTTTCTTAAGAAGTATAAAAGCACACTTCAACCCAAGAACGACAAAACTGGTCTTCATGTTTCTGGGACAAGATGAAGTAGACCCATCAACCAATAATAAGACTTATGGTTCACTTCTAAAAAATCTGACATTCATCAAGACATTTGCTTCAGGAATTATTGTTCCCAAAGGATACATATGGCCTGTAGATCCAAGTTTTTATCTACTACCACATACCTCTTTGGTCTCCGATGCGCACAAAGTGGGGCTGGAGGTCTTTGCATCAGATTTTGCCAATGATATTTCAATTAGCTTTAACTACAGTTATGACCCTGTTGCTGAGTACCTCAATTTCATTGACAATGGAAACTTCTCTGTTGATGGTGTGTTGTCTGACTTCCCCCTAACACCATCTGAAGCTATTGGTAAGCTATGTCTTTTTCCATTTTGTTAAAATGGCCATCCATACATATACTCATTTGAACTGAGAGACTGCATTCATACATTTACACTTACACAAATGGAAACTTACTTCTTCAATTTTTTGTTCACTATTACTATTATTTTTTCTACTGCAAAATTGTATTTGTACATTGGAATGTGATAAGAACCTTGAGAGAACATCTCAAAAGCCAGATGTTATGCTTGGAGAGCCCAAGGCCTTATAAACTGTACACTAGAATCCTAAACTTTTAATGTGGGACTCAAGTTCTTACCTTGCAACTAGGTCCTAATAGAATGGAGTTGATGCAGCTATGATCCTTTAAATTTGATGTTACTAGTGGTTTGGTGAATCACCTTAAATGTGTCTCCTACTTTTGGATGCATTTACTTTGTTAATATTTTAAGTGCATGTGCATCTTTAAATCAAGGATGATGCTAGAATTTAGGGATCAGCGTCCCCAAATATTGATCTGTCTGTAGTCTAGTTTATCTTCATTTTGACATCTAGGTAAGGATGGTATATAGCATTTCCACGAGGGTGCTAGTACACACACATGACATAATTTTACTAAAGATTTAAGGCTAAGCTCCTTTTCTATGCTTCCACTTTTTAAGTATAGTCCAGTTTAAATTTGGCTCCTTATTTAAGCAAATTCTAGCTATATACTCTGCATCTGCTAGGAAACCAAATTAGAAAAATGGAGAACAATAGAGAAATATTGTATTTTGTGAAAGATGTAACTTAAATCCTCTTTGGAAACCATATAATAAAAGGATGCACACAATTATGCATGGGGACACCTTATTGAAGCAAAGCTTCTGTTCCACTCGATAAGAGAGCTAACAATTAGGCATGGGCACGCATTATCAAGTGAATCTTCTTTCTTGCAATAGGTTGAGAGTTCTTTGAGAGGGATTTTGTAAGATTCAATTTTTATACATTGTTATTCATAATGGAGATTTTGTCATGACCGTAGATGTAACCCACTCTAGGTGAATTATGTTAAATTTAGTGTTATAATCTTAACTATCTTACTTCATTATACTTGTTCTTTGTTCTCTACATATTACTCTAATTTTGTTTTGATTTATTATGGTTTTACATCTTCTACCATCTATATATTTCTTGATTGATTGCAACAAACAGAATAATGGAGAACGAACTTCTTCCAAGGGTTTTCCTTGCACAAAGGATTTCTCCTTTCACAGAGAAAAAAAAAACTCAATTCACAAATGATAACAGATTCAAATCCCTCCTTTCCCATTATATTTTCCTATTAATTTTAGTCACTCACTTCATTACTAACTAACAAATTATTATAACTGCCCTAAGTAATCATCCTAACTCCTAACAACCACCATTGTAAAACTCAACATGATATTCGTTTTCCTTATTACATTACACAAATAGATATACTTTTCCCCAAGTATTGGATGCTATTATAATTGAAAATTTGATAGTGATTTGCTATGCTTCTGCATCTTCTAAAAATACATATCTATATCATAGTTTCATGTGGATTCTTTCTTGACAATCCTAACCTGACATAACCTTAGAATGCAAGAGTAAACAATTTCCCCACCTTTTAAATTAACTTTGAATTTTCTTCTTATCATGCAGACTGCTTTGCTCACATAGGCGCTAATGCTTCAAAGAAAGGTACATTAAAATCAATGCTTTGTTATGCTTTTATGAATATGTCTTCTCATCTTGTTCATTATTAGTCTATCCCTGGTTGATTCATTGTATAACGCTTCTATGCGGGCATAGATTACATAATTGTTGACCTAATACATTTATTCCATTCATGTTTCAGTTAACACTTTGGTCATTTCAAAATATGGAGCAAGTGGAGATTATCCTCCCTGTACTGATTTAGCATATGAAAAGGCTATTTCAGATGGTGCGGATGTTCTTGACTGTCCTGTTCAAATGTCAAAGGATGGAATACCATTTTGCTTAAGCTCCGTCGATCTCCTAGAGAGCACAATCGATGCTCTATCAAGTTTCAGCAATTTTTCCACACAAATCCCAGAGATCAAACCTGGCAGTGGCATATTTACATTCAACTTGAAATGGGATGATATCAAAAGCTTGACCCGTATGTCAAATAGTCCAATACTCTTCGTTCAGTCATCCATATAAGACCTATCAAACAATAAAAGATTTAAACTTCAAATAAGCAAAAATTCAAGTAGAATGATATACATATACACAATATAAACAAATCATAAGTTAGGAATGATTGGGAAAAGAATGACTCTCTTCTCTTTACAGGATAATCAATTTTGCTTACAGATTTTATCATAATTGCGTTCATGTTTTTCTTTGTGGAATCTTTTGTAACATGCTACATCCTTATAAAAGATATGCTGTAAAGCTGCATGACCTGATAGAGGCATGTAGAATCCTGCGCTGACTAATTCCTAGTTATTTCCAGCCACTTGAAAAACTAATCTCATTAAAAAAATTATTCATTTTGCCCTCGCTTACAACTTTTTTTTCAATTTTTTTGTGGTTCACTGCCTGCTGTGAATAAATTGCATGTTTTTTGTATGTATGAAAAATACTGTAAGCATATATTTGACATCTGTGTTTTTCTGTTATTCCTTGTTCCTGCAGCTTATATGGTGAGCCCTTATTATAAAAACAAATTGTTCAGGAACCCAAAATATAACAAGGTGCAATTTTTAACATTGTCAGATTTCTTGAACTTGACAAAAAGTAAGGCTTCCCTATCAGGTGTTGTGATCATTATCGAGGTGCGTTCTGCGTATGCCTGTTATTTGTATCTTCACTTCATTCCGTTAACTGTTGAATATGTGAACATGTAATGTCTTCGGAGAAAAGAAATCATGGTCAATAAGCTGCAAGCCAGACAGTAAAACCTAAAAAATGACCCGCTCGTGATTCACGAGAGGCATTGATATCATCCTTGTAAACACCAAGGTAACATTGAGAAGGGAGTCAAGCAACTTGTGGGCAACATCTATTTGATAATTTGTCACCTTCATCTCTCAAACCCACACTTGCAATTTGCACAAAGAGAATATTTATATTAAAAAAAAAGAAGGGAAGATAGCTTCACACTTAGGGATCTCAAGCATCACATCTAACAGGTTCATCACAAGTATACTGGCAAGTGTTTCTTTGAAAATAAGTTCTTTATTGATTCTTGAATGGCTAGATGGTGGATAGTTTCGAGGGTCTTACTATCTAGTTGAAAATCAAGTGAGAATTCATTAACATCATCCAAGTTTTATCCCACTAGGTGAAGTCAGAATGCATTAATAACACCTAAATAAGGACTTTTCATTAATAACACTTTTTAATGGTACCTGCCTAGTCATGAGAAGGCTGTGGTGTTCAAGGTGTAGAATTTGATTCCCACACTCATTCCCTTAGAGAAAGAATTATGCGGTTTCTATTTTATGAGGATGAATGATAGTAGTGTGTTCTTAACATGTCAATGGATAAGATAATAAAATTTCTGTAAGCTTATTTTCTTTTTGTATATTAAAGTTATGATGTTTTCTACTCTCAGAATGCAGCCTATCTTGCAAGGGAACAAAACTTAAGTGTGACTGATGCAGTCATTGATACTTTGAGCAAAGGAGGTTATGATAAACCAAGGGCTCCAAAAGTTATGATTCAATCCACTAATAGTTCTGTACTACTGAAATTCAAGGAGAAAACCAAATATGAGCTTGTCTACAAGATTGATGAGAAAATTGATGATGCTGTTGATTCAGCTATTTCAGATATCAAAAGCTTTGCTCATTCTGTGGTCGTCAAAAAGGATTCTGTTTATCCTGTCAGTGACCTCTTCCTGACAGGCTCTACAAAGACTGTGTCAAAGTTCAAATCTTTTAATCTCTCTGTTTATGTAGAAACCTTCAGCAATGAGTTTGTATCTCAGGCATGGGATTTCTTGTCAGATGCAACTGTGGAGATTAACACATTTGTTCAAAATGAAGGAATTGATGGTGTCATCACAGACTTCCCAAAAACAGCTAATAGATACAGAAGTACGTGCATGCAAAACATTTATTTCTTGCTCCTGTAATTTAGGTGGTTTTGATATTTTCTGTTTAATCACTTGAGCGTGGAAGGATTTTCTACTTCGACTTCTCTCCCATACTTTAGTTTAATATTGTAAAAATATTCCCTCAGAATTTCTGTAGACATAACCATACGACAAACAGTTGATTACTTTCTCCTTTTGTTTTCAATTCCATCATATATTTTACTATCTCCCTCATTATGTTTCTTCCTTGTGTTTCCTTAGCAAATCCCTTTAGGTCAAATTCAGCTCTGATGAATTATCGCATCTGATTACTGATATAATTGTTCCTCATCCTACCGCAGGGAACAGATGCTTGAATTTGGGAAAGAGCACACCTCCTTACATGCAACCAGTTGACATAGGTGGCCTGATACAAGTTATGACCAAACCTTACTTGCCACCAGCTGAGGCTCCAGCCCCTCCCCTGACTAAATCTGAAGTGACAGAACCTCCTTTGCCTACTGTTTCTAAAATAGCCCCATCTTCTAACCCCATTGCTGTGGCTGGACCAGGAGCACAACCACCAAGAAATGCACAGGCTAAGGTCACTGTCTGCTTCTTCTTGTCCACTCTGATTGTGCTTGTAGCTTCTCTTCTGCTTTGAGTGATGCAGGCTTCCCTCTTCCCACTTCCCACTTCCCACTTCCCACTAAGAAGGGGGAAAAGTTGGAAGAAAGGGTTGTCGTTTATGCTCACTTAGCCCTCTTTTGCCACACAACGAAGTCTTTGGCTTCAGACTGCTGGAAAATTCCAACTTTTAATTTGCAGCTGTAATTATTTCCATTAATTGTGGTAGCTAGGTATATTCCCCTATCCTGTAGCTAAGTATCTATGTATTCTTACTAGATGAGCATTTTGTATTTTCTTTTGTAAAATATATTTATAGTGTTGTGTACTTGGCCTGAGATAAACATGGCACAAGTTGGAGACCCACATGGAGATTTGAGGAATTATCTTCTGCATCTTCATGGATTAGTTGTTTCAATATTAATAGTACATTCTCTTCAGATTCCATTTGAAATTAACATATCCAGTTTCCAGGTTACGTTTTTCTATATGGCAAAACTGATGGGTTGTAATATAGGAGCTATCAGTGTTACTTGTCAATTAAAATTAGGGTTTTATAACCCGTCTCACCTCCTATTTGTCTAATATACTCTTTCAAATATATCTTTAAAATTTATAAAATCATAAATGAGATTTATTAAATAAGGAGTTAAACTTCTATGGTCTTTGTAAGTGTTAATAAATTTTAGTCGATTACTAGGGTTGGATTTGAAAGAATGTACTAAACTTCCATAGTTTGTTAACAACATATTAATAGCCTCGTTGATGGACAAGATATGATAACTTTATTAGGGGGTGATGGGTTAGCAATCATTAAGATATTATGACTTTTTTTATTACATTCTTCCTCATGTTTTATACATTTTAAATATTTTTATATTAAAAATGTTCATATTATTTTTTAATAAAAATATTAAAAAAACACCTGTTAAATTTTTCAATCAGTTTATAAAATATATTTTAATACTTTTTATAATTTTTGTTCTAATTATAATTTCTTTCCTAAAAATAAATTTTATTTGTAAAAAAATTGAATAAAATCATTACAATTCAATATCAACTTTTAATATTATATTTACATGAAAATATTTTTTTTAATTTTAACATATTGGAAATTTAAAATAAATAAATAAATATATTAATTTTGATAAAAGAGTAATTTTATATTTAAATATAATTTATTTCATTATATTATTTGTTTATTTTAAACATTACAAATAATAATATAATATTATATATTTTATTCTCCAGATGTACATCATACATATGATATAATAAGAGTTTATCATTATCTTATTATATTATATCTTTCAATTTTTTTATCTTGTCGTAAAAAGATTTTAACTCTAAAATTGAAGACATTTTAAGTAACAAGAACACTCAAACTTGTAGTAATTCACCCACTCTTCCTCACTATTAGATCATATCACATTGTAAAAATTTTCATGTTATAAATATAACTTTTATATTAATTATTATATAAATTAATGATTTTGTCTAATACGAGAATTTATAATTTTTTCCACTGTCATTTCATAAACATTCAATATAAAAGTAAAATTATCATTTTATAAACTATTATTATCACGAAATAAGTTTTGGTAGTGTAAATCATATTCAGCATCAATCCAAGTCTTTTAAAATTAGTAAGAATAAGACAAACCTAGAAGAAAGTGCTTATTTATACTTTTTTCTTCTTAAATTAAAATAAAAAAAATCGCCACAAATTGACTTTAAAAATAATTTTACGTTGTAATGGTCCAAAAGGCAACAGACAACCTTAATTTTAAGATTAATATTTTATATTTTGTGATTAATTTTCAATTCCATGCGATTAATTTTACGTTAAATGGCACAAAAAAAGGCTTCATTTTCACATCGTCATGCTTCTGTTACAGTGATGTCATTAATTAAAATTTAATGTTGAATTTGAATGAGTCTATCTTCTTTCCAACAAGTCCAAATAAAAGCGTTCATTTTCTTTTTTTCTTTTTCTTTTTTACATATCCCACACCCTTAATTAAAAATTATTCTTTTAATGAAAAATATTAAAAAGAAAACAAAAAAATTTCACTTTCGTTTCTTTTGTATTTCAAATTTTAATTTTAAAAAATATAATTTTATAATCTAAAATTTTATTAAGAAAATATAAATTATATGATACTTTTAACAATACATCTAATTCATATTATTTTTAATCAAATTATATAACTCAACTCACATACCATATAAGCAAATAACTAACAAATTGTTAGTAAAAAGACTAAATGAAAATAAGAAATAATTTCAGAAAAAGTTAGATTTAAAAAAAATTAAAGAATTAAGATCTTTTTACACATTAACCTAATATATACATATAAAATTATTTGCATACCATATATTATTCTATAAAGATCGTTGTCATTAAATATTTTGTTAAATTTTTTAAAAATAAAAAAGATAACAAAGTAATAATTTTCTAATGTAGGTTTAAAGATATATAATAAAAAAATCAATAAATAATATATTCTATTAAAAATTATAATTAATATAATATTTCCTACTTTTAATAAATTTTATATTATGTAAAATTTTATTTGTATTTCATTATGTACACGTTTAAAAAAATCAATAGAAACAAAGTTAACAGTTAACACTATAATTAACTCTAAAATTTTAAAAATTAAAAAAAAATTGAAAAATAAAAGCTGGCTAGCACATTTATTGACTGGTAACTGCAAGAAACTACAAGTCCCTTGACCACGCAAAGCCTGAAAACAACTTTTCTGGAATTATTTCAAATCCTTTCCACATTTAATATTTCAAGTTTCAAAGTTGCATAATGTCAAGAGTTTAGAAAAAGAAAAATTAGTATCAAGATGATAATGCTACAATACTGCACTTAATATGTAATCATTGATATTATTGTCTAAAGTTTTGGGTTGTTTCCAATAAAAATTAATGTGTATAAATCAAAAATAAAAAAGCAAAAAATCATTGAAATTAAAAGTTAACTAATAATTATACAATTATTTTTAAATTAATTTTGACCAATTTCTTAAACTTCTTTCTTTTTGAATCCGTCTCTGCCAATGTGATAAAACTTAAGTACTATTTTCTAACAAAAAAGTATAAACAATGGTAACATTAACATACATTAATATATAGTATTTGATTAGTAAATTGTTACACTTGAAACGCAAGACATAGAGTACCAAAGTCCCCCAGCATCAATTATTTTTCTTTTTCTTTTTCTTTTTCTTTTTTGGAATTTTAACTTTAAACAAATGTCCACGTGGCAGTCATGTAATGGCTGAGATGGATCCCCTGAACTGAACATCATCAGTGCGTTATGCTGACGTTCATAGAAACACACAGAACAAACAAACCAAAAGCTTGATTCACTTCAAGCAACCCAACTCCCCCATTTTTAATACTTTGACCTTTCCAAAGGGTATCTCTCTCTCTCGCTCTCTCTCCACACCACCTCCTATATATACATTTAACCATTTTTCTCTTGTTCCTCACATTTTTCAACAACCCAAGATTCTTTTGTTGCATTGTTTCAACAAAATGCCAGAGACAAGAGGTTGCATTCATTTGAAAGAGCCTTGTCTTGTAGCCAGGAAATTCTTGGCAAGACCTCAGCATGAGGGCGTTGGAGCTGTGGTTAGAAGAAGCATAGGAAGGTAAGTAATAGAGGATGTGAAATTTTCTTTCAGACCCATTTTTCAATTTGCATGAAAAGTTTTTACTCATTGCAAAGTTGAGATCTTTTGGTTGATTTGTTACATGCTGTGATCAGGTTTGAGCTTAAATACTTTGATCCCTTCCTTGTGTTGGATGAATTCTCAGGTTTGCATCGCATCTCTGTTTTTTTCTCTGTTCTGTCACAGGGGAAAGTGTCTATCTTTGTGTTGTTTTTAAGAATGTTAAATTTTGAAAAATTGCAGTTACTGCTCCTGCTGGTTTTCCTGATCATCCCCATAGAGGTTTGAAAATTGGCCTTCTTTTTTGTGTAAATTACTTTTTTTTTTTTTGTATCTTCAAATATTTTATCAGCTGTGTTATATATTATTGACTATTTGCTCCTTCTTTGTGATTTTGTTTTCTTTTAACAGGCTTTGAGACAGTCACATACATGTTGGAGGTAGAGAAAGTTGAATGTTCCCCCATTCACAAGCTTCTTTTCACGTCATGTTCAATATTACCAATGGCAAACAACTCATGCAGGCTATATAACTGTTTGCCATCATTGGAGAAATCCTTGTATTAGTTGTTTGACTTTTGTTGAAATAACTTTTAAAGATAGAAAATATGACTTTAATGAACTAATAATGGCCATCATAAAGGTGAATCAACAGGGTTATATAATATGAAACATAAAAAGGATACTAAATATTTTGTTTTCTGATTTGAAGTTTAACCTTACATATGGATGCGAGTTGTTGTGTGCTGGTGGTATGGCAACAAATAAGTCAAAAACTAATGCCCGGATGCCAAATCAACCATTCTAATTAGTGACATATCTAAGCACAAACACGAAAGAATTGCCCATAATAGCTGGTTACATAAGCAAAAGGACAAGAATGACCCCACATGTTTATGTCTTGTGTTTGCTTCTAGAATAACAACTAGGGAACTACCAACCTGTACCTAATGTTGTGAAGGTGCTATGTAAGTCACTTGTGCTTATACATACATTGCTTACTTGGGTACAATCTTTTGTCTCATCTAGGGAGCTATAAGGCATGAAGATTTTGAAGGACACAAAGGGACAATAGAAGCTGGTGACTTGCAATGGATGACCGCAGGGAGAGGGATAGTTCACTCAGAAATGCCTGTGGGTCAAGGAACCCAAAAGGGTCTCCAGCTGTGGATCAACTTGGCTTCCAAGGATAAAATGTTAGTGAGTTAAAACCTTTTTCTTCTTTTTGATTGAATTTTAACTATGGCATGGTTATATTTAATTAAAAATTACCTATTACATCTTTAACAAGATTTGAATAAAATCTTGATGAAGAAAAATTATTATCTAACCGTCGATCAACTAGTAGTAGAAGATTGTTCTAACTTAATTTGTGATCTCAAATTTGAATCAGAGTAAATATAATTATGTTAAATATTTGAAAAGAAAGTTTTATTGTATATAGTAATTTTATTTGACTTAAATATGATTGTCTCTTATAAAAGATATATGTGATTAAAAAAAATTAAAATTTAAAATTACAAAACTAAAATTGTCACATGATATTTACAAATTAGGTAAAATTAAACATACATGCAAATTTCAAATCATTCAATAAACTTTCCTTTAAAAAAGTATGAGTGTTAAAATAACTATTGTGGAGAGCAAATTTAGTCTTTTCCATTTTTTACAAGAACACAAATGACAACCTTAGCCTTGGCCCCAGGGTTAGGTGACATATTTTTGGCGTCATTGGCCATCATCATTATCTCTTTGAAGGATCGTTTACCATCAATGAGGCAAAAAGGGATTCCCCTCTTTACAAAAGAAAAAAGTCAAATCTAATTTTAACTTTTGGAATTAATATATACCTTGCCTTCTTTCCATTGTCACCTTTTCTGATAAATCCCCATGCCATCATGGACCATTTCCTACAAGTGCTTTTGCATAGCTACATCATGTAAGTGTTTGAAATGGCTAGCATATGTACCTCTCTCCCACATTCCCGGTGATTATGTTTACTTCAATCATAAAAGCAACCTGTTGCCACTGCTAGTTACAAAATGTGTCAAGGTTGAGTGACCCAATATAGATAGATGTAATATGTTATTTTCTTGGAAGTTATATAATTTTTAATAAAAACATATGATATATAAATTTTTATCATATACAATATTATATAAGTTAGAAAATCATGATATCTGTTAAAAATAGTTTCTTATTTTATATGCTAGACTCTGTTTAACTCTCTTGTGTTTTGACACTACTATATTAGGATTGAACCAAGGTATCAAGAAGTGTTGAGTAAGGACATAGCTGAAGGTGTGGAAGATGGTATGAAGGTTAGGGTTATAGCTGGGGAAGCACTAGGGATAAAGTCTCCAATCTACACAAGGACCCCAACTATGTTCTTGGACTTCTCTCTCAAACCAGGAGCCCACTTACAACAACCTATACCAAAATCTTGGAATGCTTTTATCTATGTCTTGGAAGGAGAGGGTGTGTTTGGAAACCTGAAATCTCAACCTACAAACTCTCATCATATTCTTCTTCTTGGTCCAGGAGATGGCCTAGAGGCATGGAACAAATCTTCTAAGCAACTTAGGTTCATTTTGGTTGGAGCAGAACCCTTGGGGGAACCTCTAGTGCAATTTGGACCCTTTGTGATGAATACTCAAGAAGAGATTGACCAAACCATTGATGATTTTGAGAATTTTGCTAATGGATTTGAGAAAGCAAAACAATGGAGAACTGAAAGCTCAGTTAATCTTGATTTTTGATTTTATTAGCATTAATCATTAGTTGAGTTGCAAACTAAGGAGGCAAAATAAATTTTGCAATCTCTCATGTAACGTAATCTTAAATTAATGAATTATATTAAGATATTTCATGTTCTTTTTTTTTTTTTCATTTAATAAATAGTTTAAGGAAGATGTCCTGTAGTAAGAATGATTATAAGCAAGAATTAAATCAATCAAAACTTTATTCTTCAATGTTGTACAATACTTCTAGAGTCAGTCTTTAATTAATAACCAAAACGAATAATGTGAGTATAATAATTAAAATAACTAATAGTATATATAATGTTAAAAACATAAGCCAAAATATAATAAGAAATTTGGTGTGTATGCTGCTACCAATGCATTGCTATAGATTGTTACAATGTTGATAACTAGCGGTGTGGTGGTGGTGAAAATTGGGTATTGTAACAATGATATTGAGATTTTTTTTTCTGAATTAAGAAAAGTAAAGGAGGAATTTTATTTATTGAGGATAAAAAAATGAATTGTAAGTTTATATATAATTTAAAATAAGATTTTAAATAATATAAATTAATAAAATGAATTTATCTATTAAATAATTTTATTTTAGTTGAATAAATTTATAAATTAATCAAACAAAGATATAAAACAGTTAAAATAAATGCAACCCTTGTTAAATCAACTTAAAAAATCACATAGTTATACAATTTTCGGTGTGAGCAAACGAAGTATAATAATATATGATATAATATGATAATTTTTTTAAAAAAAAACTTATATAATAATTAAATTTTTTATAAATTCACTAAAAATTACTCTATTTATTTTCAAAATAATAGTATAAACTAATAATTATTGAAAACATAAAAATGTAATTTATAAAAAAATATAAAATGAGATTAAAAATAATAATAATAAATTTAGTGCTAAAAAAATAAAATATCTTGTGTTTTTTTTTTTAAAGAGAGAGTACATTAAGAAATTAAATTAATCTCAAAAAGATTCTATATTAATTATTCTAAAAATATAATTTGTTTCAAATTATCATTTAAAAAAATATACTTATTTTTCAACTAAAATCATTTTAAATAGAAGTATTTGTTAAGAAATTATTTTTTATCTTATGTCAAATTTTAAACAATAATTATTTTAAAATGAAGATAATATATATTTGTGTCCCAAAATGAAAGATATATAACACTATACATAATCATAAGTTTCTTTATCCACTAGGTTCCTTTCACACAGTTAAAAAATAAATAAATATGTAAAAGCTAATGTGTAGTAAGAATGCAAGGACACCATGATAACATATCAAATTTCATAACAGCGAGGCGAAGTGTTTTCTAAAATTAAATAATCAGGAGATAAGATATAATTAATCATTTTAAATGAATATTTATTAATTATCGTTAAAAGATCAAATATATATATATATATATATATATATAGATAATTTTTATTTTTAATCAGTATATTCAAATTCATTGAATAATTAATGTATGCATTTTAATTTATTTATTTTAGAGGAATAATTCTCTTATAAATTTTGATAAACTTTAAAATATTTATATCCTTAAAAAAACTGAATAAACTAGTCAATTTTCTTTAGACTTTCAACTTTACTCTGCTTAAAAGGTAACTTGCTTATTATGTTTCATCTCTATTAATAAAAGTATTAGTATAATGGAAGTTAGAGGCAATCAAACATTAAACTCAACATTTAAGATCGTAACAGAAAATAAATTAAAGTTATCACTGTTAATAATAAAAGCCTCAAATATAATAATTGTTGGAATTAGTAATTGATTAGAAGTTGCATGTAATTGTTGGCTATCTTATTTCTATGGTTAAGTTAAGATTTTATGCAAATGTTTAGTCTTTTTGTTAATTAACTTTTGTAATAGTCAATGTTCATTTTTATACGTCTTTCTTTTGTTTAGACGTTAGAGTCAATTAATGCATATTCTAGTTGATGAATGAGTTGCTTAAACAAATTCTTCATTATTACTAATACAGCTCTATTAATTTGACTTAGTAAATAATTTGAAACAAGACATGTATTAATTAATCATGACAAAAAGTTTGTAATTATGAAAAATAGTAATATTTAGCATGACACGTTTTATCAAATTCAAAAATAATAATTCTCTATCAAAACATGATAATGAATTATATTTTGAAAATAATGATTTTATTTTTAAAGAGTTTAGTATTTTTAAGCCGGTGATATTTGCTTTAATTATTTCTTTTACTTGATAAAAAAATAAATATATAGTAAATTTTTAACAAAATTTTTCACATTTAATAATGTAAATATATTAAATTATTTTAATTTTTATAATTTTAAATAAATTTTATATTTTTTTACAAATTAAAACAATTATATAAATAAAAGGTAAAAAAAATTAAAATTCCTGATTTTATTTTTTTCATGAGAACATGCTTTAGTAAAATCTAGGAAGAACGAGAAACAAGTGCGGATGAATTCGAAGAAGACATGAGAAAGAAGAAAGTGACATGGCGTCACCCTATTGGTCCGTCTTCGTTTGAGAAAACCACGTTTCCATCTCTTCAGACCCGCCTTGTCCGTGCAACACACACACACACACACTGTGTCATCACTCGCAAGCAGAGAGAGAGAGAGAGAGAGAGAGAGAGAGAGGAACCCACAATGAACAGAAGAAACTCCTTACTTCTGAAGACCCTTTTGTTCCTCTTTGCCCTCAATTCCCTCTCTCTCTGTCTCTACTTCACACACCACTCTACAAAACCCTCTTCTTCTTCTTCCTCTGATTCTTCTTCACACCCTAAAACTCACACCTCTCTCACACTTTCACCACAAACCCACTCTTCAAAACCATGGCCCATTCTACCATCTTACCTTCCTTGGTCCCAAACCACCTCTCCTGCTCCTCCACGCTCCTGCGAAGCCTATTTCGGAAACGGCTTCACGCGCCGCCACGATCTCCTTGCCACCGGCAGCGGCGGTGGGTGGTTCCGGTGCTGGCACAGTGAGACTCTCAGAAGCTCTGTGTGTGAAGGGGGAAGGGTGCGTATGGTGGCGGAGCGGATTCAAATGGCGAAGGGTGGTGAGGCTTTGATGGAGGTTATTGGGAGGAAGGAGGATGAGGAATTACCCTCGTTTCAAAACGGTGCGTTTGAGGTTCATGGTGGTGAAGGGAATGAGGAGGAGGAGAAGGTGCTCGTTGATCGCGAGTTTTTGGATCGGTATTTGCCTCGGGGTGAGGTTACGAGACACACTATGCGGGATTTGATTAGTAAGATTCGGATCGTGGGTGGGAAGGGTTTTCATTGTGATGAGGTGAGGGGTGTGAAAAGTTTTTATTTTTGTTGATTTCACCGTGTGGGTGTTCATGGTTTATGGTTGGATTGAATGGGAGGAGTGTTTTATTTTTTTTCCTTTTAAATTGTGATTTGTTTTGGTTTGTGGCTTTGATTGGATTGGGTGGAAATTATTGTGAGGTTTTGGATGTTGATTCTGCTCTTTTTGATGATTCTGAATCTGGGTTGTTATGGTGATTCATTATTACCTTGACTGAATCTGATCTCAGAATCGGGTTTCATTTAATTATTTTCCTTTTCAGAAGGGGGTGAATAGATTTTGTCTTTTTCCTAATGCTGTGGGGGTTAAATTCAATGCTTGGGTAAGATCAGTTATTTGATAGGAAAGGGAAATAATTTATTTTGAGAGATGAGGGGGAGAGTGCAAAATTGATCATAAATGATCAGTTTTTTTTTATGGTATGTACAAAATTGATCAAACAAATTAAGAATGCAGCAAGTCCTGTGCAACCTCTGCTTATTAGAGGCAGCAATTCTCTTTGAAAAGCCATGAACATAATACTAAAGAGCTGCCATAAACACGGGTTTATTATATAACAAGTTTAGGGGCAAAGAGACACCTTTAGAGATCGATAATTCTCTTTTACGATGAATTTGTATGACGATTCAATTGATAATATTTTTCAGTACCTGCATGCTTTCTCTTTTCGTGTTAATTTTTAAGTTTCACAATTGCTTTCTCCTCTTGATATAATGTAGTCTTCTTGTTATCTTTCTTTGGTTGTGCAATTTCTTTGGTTATGTGTTTTTGACATGAGGGTTTCTATTTGCAGTGGATTGAGGAACCAACACTTCTGGTGACACGCTTTGAGTATGCTAATCTTTTTCACACTGTTACAGACTGGTACAGTGCATATGTTTCTTCTAGAGTCACTGGTCTGCCTAGTCGACCTCACCTGATCTTTGTCGATGGCCACTGTACGGTATGCATGATCCGCCCTGGGAATTTGTTTGCATTTTGAAATAACAAATAATTGTTGAGATTGGTAACTTGTTATTCTGCTGGAATCTAGCTGCTTTTTTTGTTCCTTTCCTTTTAAGGGACTGATAGGACCAAGCAGAGTTTCGATATCTTAGTAAAAAGAATCAATAATTGAAGTATATCATTGGATTTCTTGAACATTTTTGGTTGCAAACTTTAGATAAAATGTTAATTATAATCATTGATGTCAAATTGATCTAAATTTTTCATTTCCAAAGTCTGAAAATAGTCTTGTTATTTTACAAGTCTTCGGCAAAAAGGGGGTGAATTTTTGTTCATAGTACCTGTCCAAAGTAGGTATTGTACAGTGGTACTAGCTTCAGGACAAAGGGATGAACCTGCCAAACATGATTTTGCTTTTGTAATCAACAAGATATGTGACCGTTTATGATGTTTCATATTTTTCTTGCGGATGAGCCGATGCTTCTACAACACGATTGTTATGAGTTTTTGGTTTTATACTATTGTTTTTAACTTTTGTGCACTCTAAGTTTGCTAGTTAATTGTGATGCCTAAATGTAACTACTTTCTTCCTTAAATTATACGAACATACATGTACTATGTTTTTGGTTAGTTTTGTTTTCCTTGTTGATAAATAAGGAATTTGGTAGAAATCTTGGTTAATTTACTGCTTTTCTCCAAAATATTTTCAGGCTCCTCTTGAAGAGACATGGAAAGCATTATTCTCTAGTCTCAGATATGCTAAAAACTTCAGTGGTACAGTTTGTTTTCGTCATGCTATTCTCTCACCTTTGGGATATGAGACTGCATTGTTTAAAGGGTTAACAGAAGATATAAACTGTGATGGAACTTCTGCACAAGAACTGTGGCAAAAACCTGATAACAGCAAGACTGCACGCCTTTCTGAGTTTGGAGAAATGATCAGAGCAGCATTTGGGCTGCCGTTAAACACACACCGGGCTGGAAAACCACTCTTTGGACATAACGTCCTCTTTGTTCGTCGCGAAGATTATTTAGCTCATCCACGTCACGGGGGTAAAGTTGAATCAAGACTAAGTAATGAGCAAGAAGTCTTTGACTCCTTGAAGAGCTGGGCATCTAATTATAAAGGATGTAAAATTAATCTTGTCAATGGATTGTTTGCACACATGTCTATGAAGGAGCAGGTACGAGCCATTCAAGATGCATCGGTCATCGTTGGTGCCCATGGTGCTGGTCTTACTCACATAGTATCTGCCTTGCCCAAAACTGTGATTCTAGAAATCATTAGCAGCCAATTCAGACGGCCGCATTTTGCATATATTGCCCGGTGGAAAGGGTTGGAGTATCATGCAATTAACCTTCCTGGATCACATGCTGATACTGGAACTGTGATCAATGAGCTGGCCAGCATAATGAAAAGCCTTGGATGTTGAGTGTTTTGGGCTGGAAACTACTGATATCCGTTTGAGTAGTAAAATGGAAGGTGATCTTTAATTTTCTATGATTCACATCTCATATGTGGCTTGCAAGTTTTTACCTTTGATTGCAGCCAGTTTTTGGTTACTTCAAGTGATGTAGTTGCTGATTTCTTGTTGGAGCAGAAACACATTAACTTCTTTAAACTGAATTTAACTTAACAATTAAGCAATGCATGTGAAGGTTGAAGCATCAGTGCCATGAAAGAAAGGTTCATTTGTCTTGGTTTGTATACACACTGGATTGTTTCCTTCGTTTGCTCCTTGTCCCAAGATGTATACAGAAGAGGGGTCTCAAATATTTTCTTTGTATATGGATTCTTCCACACACGGTTTTGTTGTACAACATTGATTTTTCTTTTAAGTTAATTTTTGCTGAATCATTTTCATAGATACTATGTTAACCATACAAATTGCGTTTTTACTTGCATTAAACTTTTGGCTGACACATCATTTCTGAGAAGACAAATTTTAGATTTTGTGATTTCTTATTATTAGGGTTTTGTTGATGCATGTCATGCCTTGAGAATTTTAAATAGCATTGTTACATCATGTTAATTACTTAATATTATAAATGCGTTTTGGAAGTACTAAATGCTTTTTGGAAGTTTAATATTATAAATGCTTGTTCGTTTTATTTAATGGTTTTATTTTTTATTCCTTAATCATTGGTATTTAATAATATTTGTTGTAACTGTACAATGAGGCATATGGCAACAAAATCCCTTAAATGAATCACAATTGCACCAAAAAAATGTGACAGAAAGGCAACATCTGAAGATTTTAATGGATAAGAAAACTGTAGCGATATGATTAGCTAATACTCTTTTTGGATTTTTTATAAGACATATTTTAGGAGTTTTTAGTGATTTTCTTAAAAGATACTTTTATTTGTTATGTTCTTTTATATATGTATATAAATGAAGCTGTGAGAAACTCAATTAACACTAAGAAGGATAAAAGTTGAAAGAGGCAGTAATATATTTTTATTAGTTTGTATAATTTAGTTAAAAGATATCTTGTAAAGATTAAGGGAGTAGCTTAATTGAGGAAAAAGATTCCTAATTCGCTTAAGCAAAAATACAAAAACACAGAATATGACTCTCATGTTCGTTCACAAATAGGAAAGGATTTCGATCCCTTATTTGATTAGATTATAAGTTTGCTCGATTAAAATAGGAGAGTTGGTAAACAAGTTTATTAATTTATAATTTTTTTTAAATGTCACATGTTGTTATTATCTTTAATATTCTAATATTTTTTGTCATCTTTTTAAATATTATGTCATTTATTTTAATAAGTATGAGATGAAGTTATTTTAAGAGTAATTTTCAGAGTTAGTTTCCTTAATAATTTTTTATAGGCAAAATTTATTAATTCAACTATTGAATATGATATTAACATAGTGATTGTACATACCAAATTTTAGATAAATTAAACAATTGTAGATATAAAATTCTATAATTAATATTTACGCATATTTTTAAAATATTATTAGAAGTTAAACATAAAGCTGTCTGACAAACAATCAATTAACTTTGATTTGTATAATTTTTTGTAGATTTGACTCAAATTAGTAATAACTTTAAATTTAGCTGTTAAATTTATAAAATCTAAAATTTATAAAAATTTATTAAGTAAAGTGATTCCGACAAAATATTATCGTTAGAATAAATTATTTTTCATCCTTTTAATAATTTTTTAATATTACACTATTTATTCTAATTTTTATATTATTTATGCCAAATATTTTAGATCACATATATTTGAATTTTAAATAAAAAGTGAGAATTTTAAACTGATCAAAAACTGAAAAATATAATTAATTTAAAATAAAAATAAACATATCTTCTAAAAAGAATTAGATTATTATAATTCAAATATATTTGAATTTTAAATAAAAAATGAAAATTTTAAACTGATTAAAACTGAAAAATATTATTAATTTAAAATAAAAAAAACATATAGTTTCATAGAAATTATTAGATTATTAAAAAATCATATAAACATATCTTTTTAGTCATTTTGCATCTATTAACTATTTTAATAATTAATTTTATCAATTACATTTAATTCAATAAGTTAATTTAAAAATTTCAATTGAAAAATATTTTTTTAATTAGTTCATTATTTTTTTCAATTAAAAAAATATAAATTATTTCAATTAGTTATTTTTATCAAATAACATTAATTTGTTCATAAAATATTCATTTTTCATAAAAATTAGTTTATGGTCTCTAAATTTCAAATGATAACATTAATTAGTTATTTTTATCGAATAAACTATTTCAGTTAGTTATTTTTATAAAATAACATTAATTTCAAATGCACTTTGATAGTGTGATTGCAACACTAACACACTAATGATGGTACTTTCGTGTAGGTAATGACGTGATAATATAAATTAAGAAATAGTAACATATTGTTTTTAATAAATACTTATTAGTTAAAAAATATTAAAATTTATAAAATTATAAATGAAAAACATTAAATAAAAAGTGAAAGTTACATATTTTTTTTGTGATTTTTTTTAATAAAATTTTGTTAACAATTTCTAGTTGCATTAAATACTTAGACAGAGAAATTTACTGTCTTTGACTGAAGAAAAATTTTCCTCTTATGAAGATATTTATGGTCTAAAAATAAAAAAAAATAAAAATTGTTTAAGCAATTAATAAATAAATTTTTATTAAATATTATATTAGAGATTATTTGAAAATTATGAGAAAAATGTATTGTTGCAAATTTTAATATAATTTTTTTATTTTACCAATAAAATAAAAAATATAATTTTTAATTTCTTAATCAATGCATTAATTTTTGTCTAAAATTATTTATAAATCTTGACACAGTAAAATTTTGGAATAATTAACAGATAGCATTAAGTGGTAGGTTTAGAATTTTTTTATGCTTACATTATATATTATCTATGCCTCTTAGTTGAGAAGACTCTGACTCTTTTTGTAATAATATAAAATCATTTATGTGTTAACTTAAGGCTTTGGGATATTTAATTGATTGAGATATGTGACATGCATTTAAGTAAGAAACTGGCCATCACCATAGCATTGTTCTCCACCTTTCGGTTTTAAAAATAGTAAAAGTTTTGAAAACTTTTCCTTTTCATTCTTACTCTGTTAAAGAGGAACTATTTTTTTTTTTGGACATACCATCGATATAAAAAGTTTTACACTGTTAATCAATTTAAAATATAACTTTAAAAAATTATTATAGTTTAATAATTTTTATTTACATAACAACTTATAATTAGATGATATTGTGAAAATTTTTACACTCTGAGAATATTTCAACTGAATTGAAAAAGATATTATAAAAAAGTATCATGAGACTGATATTATTCTTCTCTGTTTGATTCCTAAAATTATGAAGAATAAATGCTTATTGCTAATGCTAGTAGCAGCAACCAAATCTTTGATGTTTGTAGCACCTTCCCGAGATTCCCTAATTGCACTCTAGTCTGAAATTTCTTATTTTTTGGGGGTCCAAGTTCATTAATTTTTCTTTGTGAAGCTTGCCAAATGCCAGGTAAATATTTAAAGTGGATCAAGATAGAGGATCTTAGTCCCATTATTTTCTTTTAAACTAAAGTGAAGTGTTTTATGTTGACAACAAAAAGTGATTTTTATTAAAGGGCAATCACTATTGATCGATTTGCAACTGCAGGAAATCCAATTCCTTTTCGAAAAGCCTGTGATCTCCATGTAATTCTCCTTAGGATATGTTTGGATGGTTGGAGAAAAATAAAAGGAAAAATTATTTTTTTAATTTTAAAATGAGATTAAATAAGAAAAGATTCACAAATAAGTCAGAATGTTTATTTAAGAAAGAGTGAGTATAAAAACTAATAATTACATATCACCAAATATAGTGTGAATGGAGGAAAGTAAGAGATAAGAAGAAGAAAGAAAGAAAGAAAGAAAAGTAATTTAATATACATGATTGATAATGTGATAGAAAAGGAAAAAAGAACTAAAATGGATGAGTTAAAAATGAATGTAATATAATTATGTTGTGTATTAACATAGAATAGTTTATAAGATTAAATTGATTGAAGGACACAAAAGTTAGAGAGTAAAGTAAAAATTTTAAAATCTTATGAAATATCTGAGTCTCAAGAATGAAACTGATTCAAGTGATTTTTTATTTTTTATATGAAATACCAAGAAGACAAGTTTAACTTCTACATTTTTCTAGAAAAGCATACTAAAAAGAGAGATGAAAGAGTGATGTAGTGGAAGTGAGAATCAGCAACCAGTACCCCATTCAAAGTCTTTAAAAAAAAAAGAAAAAGCAAACATCTCCCTTTAACCTATACATTTACATTAATATATAATTACTGCACAGTTAATAATACATAAACAAGTGTAAAAGCAAGAATATATGAACTGGAAGAACTACCACCTGAAGAATAGAATTTGATAACTACTGAAATTTGTAGGCAGCAAAAGAAGAAACTTCGCGTTGTCCCCACGGAAAGCATCTCCAACTCATATATCTGGAAGAGCATTGAATCTGCTTCTGCATGTTTTCATTCAACTTTTGCAGCTTCTGATTAACCTCTGATTCAGGTTTCAGCTTGCAAAACCATTACAAGGCTTTTTTTTTAGTAAAAATGGCATTGGCAGAATCAACTCCATTTACGTCTTTCGATGATGTTAATGCTGCTGCTAGTGAGTTTGGTATGTCTCTCTCTCTCTCTCTCTCTCTGTATATATATACACACACGCACATTAAGTGAGAGCGTGAGATGTGACAGGAGTTTATCTTAGTCATATAATAGGTAAGATGTTTTAATTAGTTTTAATTTTAATCATTCATTTTAATTTGTTGAGTTTCAGTTTTCATACACTCTAGTCTCTTTTTATATGATTAAAAAATACTTTGTTTGCCTTAGTAAATATAGGACTATGCTCTTTGTTTCTCATTTTCCGTTAAAGGAAAACAAATGTTTCTCAAACAAACTCTGGGACTGGTACAAACTAAAACAAAATGTAAGTAATGAGTTTAACAAAACCCATAAATTAAACTACAACCTGGGAATTTGGTACCATTTGCTTTTAATGAATAAAAATTATATAAACTAAAATCCAAATAAAAAGAAAGATAAAAAGGGTCAATGACGAGAGAGAGAGAGAGCTCTATACTAGAGTATTGATAGGGACCAAAAGTCAGGCCCAAACAAATATTATAAAGAGAAAAGTCAAAATTACTGAAAACTGGAATGTCCAAAATCTATTTTAAACCTTAAAAAAAAATTGACTGGTTTAGATCCAATAAATGCAAAAGACTAAAGTGGCTCAAAAATAATTTAGAATTTTCTTCATAATTTTTGAGAATTTGAAGTCTAAACTCCTTAATTGAAAATCTCAACACTTCCACTGTTAAGCTTGCTTTAGATCATGTTATATTTTAGATATCCTTTATAAGAATACTTGATTCAGATGACATCATTCACAGTTTAAATTCAATTGACAACACATAAATATATGTTTATTAAGTGCTGTTTTGATAAGAACCATTGTAGTCTTTTAGCCATTCTACTTTCCTCTTTCATACAATCTCACACTGTCACATTTATTGTCAAAAGCTAGGGGATTCAACCACGGTTACTACCACCCTTTGCACATAGCAATACTAAAAGGTGATTGGAAATCTACGAAGGCTTTTCTTGATAATGACCCAAGTGCATTGACTGCAAAGGTCACCACACTTGGAAGAACTGCACTGCATGTCGCAGCTGTAGGAGCTCAATGGCAACTAGTTGAGAAATTGGTGCAACACATGCCACTACAAGTACTTTCTGAGCTGGACTTGATGGGTTGTACTTGCCTTCACTATGTTGCAATGGGTGAAAGCATAAATGCTGCCAAGGCATTGGTGGCTAAAAATCCTTCTCTGACACAGCTTACTGACTTGAAAGGGTTCACACCACTTGTATATAGTATTACCTCTGCTAGATGTAAAGAAATGGTGTGGTACCTTGTTTCGAATACTACAGATGAGAGACCTGGCTGTCCATTTTCTGGTCCTTCTGCTACTCAACTTGTTGCTTTGCTTACTGCTGCAGGATTCCATGGTAAATAAATGCTTTGCTGAATAGTATGTTGATATGTATGTGTATGTGTATGTGTTATAGGATTCCTGATCCATGAGAAAGAATGATTTAAATTTAAAATCTTAGGCCTGTTTGGTTTGAGATAATGTATTTTTTTGGTTATATTTTCTGTTTCTAAAAATAGCTACAAACATGTCATTGTATTTTCACTTTGTTTTCTGTTTTAAAGATTTTGTAAAGGAAATTATGAAAACAGCATTAAAAGAAGATTTGTATAGGGAATGGTAAAAATGAAAAATGTTGTTCTAATAATTTCCTTTACAAAACTTTGAAATCAGGAAACAAAGTAAATAATGTGTCATTTTTGTAATTATTTATGAAAATAAGAAATGAAAACAAAACATTTTCTCAGACTAAATAGATCCTCACTGTATCATAATGGCAGTAGAGTGTCTATATTAACAGCTTACCTCTTGATCTAAAACAATTGTTGACAACATATCAAGGAAGAAAAGTAGGCTGACACACTAATTATTTTGATGTTTTGGTGTCACACCAAACTATTAAAACATCCATGTGCACATTCTGTATCATGCTTTAGTATTACAATAATTATTAATTATGCTACTCACATAAAACACATTACTATTCAGATGTTTGTAGCCTGTTCTTTATATTCTTTTATAACTAATTTTTTGCCTCTCCCATGGGTAGATATCACTATGTATCTTCTCCAGCGCTACCCAAACTTGGCCATTCTTTCAGATTCAAATGGTAGCATTATTCTAAATGTTTTGTCAAAAATGCCCTCAGACTTCCAAAGTGGAAATAAGCTTGGGCATTGGAAAAGATGCATTTACCACTGTAAGTACCCTCTTTTGATATTATTCTCTTTTCTTACCATGCTTCATTGTAATACATTTCTGGCTTATGAAATTTAACTTTCCACTTCTTCAACTATATTAGGTGCTCCAGTGGAACTTGATTATTTACCACCAAGCCGTCAGCAATCTTATTTCGGAGTTACAATATGGAATGCAGTTCAGAATCTTGGTATGTTGTACTTGTACAGAATAACATTTCCAGATATTCTTAAGAAGTCTTAATTTGAATGAACTTTTCCATAAGTACTTGTAAGTTGTAGGAGAAAAAAATAAGAAAGTAAATCAAATCACAATTCTCACCTAAGTTAAAATCAACTTATGGATATCAATTTTTTAGTTTTTTCTTAAATTTTCCAAAAGTTGATGTGTACGAATTTAATTTAACATACAAGAGAAGTTTGACTCCTTTTTTCTCTCCTTATTTTGTTTCCCTTATTAAGTGCTTATTGAAAACTTTATCCACACTGGGCCTTATTCTCTTAGCTTCTCGTTTTATTTTAATGCTTTACTAAAAAAGTATATATATATAACTTCATTTCCAGTTCCCAGCATTAAGCTAGCTAGAGAGGCAAAGTTGAGACACCTATCTGCTGTGAGCTTGGTGGAATTCGTTTGCTCACAAGTATCAACCGTGAACAATTCTGAATTCTGGCAGTCTTTTGTGAGTGCGGACATTATTTTCAATGCCACATCATCTGGCATAGTTGAAATGTTAAGAATTTGTTTCCAGTTTTTTCCTGATTTGGTTTGGACTCGCTTGCCAAATGAAGGATTTGTAGCTCAAATTGCCATCCATAATCGGCAAGAAAAGGTTTTTAGTCTTCTTTGTAAGATGCCTATAATTTGCAAGTTTTTAATGTTGGCATTAGATGAATCACAGAACACCACATCACATATAGCAGCAAGGTTTTCTTCTTCTCAACTAGCATCAATTTCTGGTGCAGCATTTCAAATGCAAAAGGAGTTACAGTGGTTTAAGGTTTGTTTAATCTCATAACTACTTTCTTAGAGATTTTTGTGCTTCACTTCTATTAAGATATTGATTACATCATATACTATCCAACAGGAAGTAGAGAAATGGGATCACCCTCTTCATAAAGAACTTAAAAACCAAGATGGACAAACACCTTGGCAATTGTTCAGGGAAGAGCACAAGGCTTTGCTTGAAGAAGCAAAGAATTGGATGAAGGACACATCAAACTCTTGTATGTTAGTGGCAACTCTTATTGCTACAGTTGTCTTTGCTGCTTGTATCACTGTACCTGGAGGAAACAACCAAGAGAAAGGGTTTCCAATATACTTGTCAGATCGCACATTCAGAGTGTTTGTTGTGTCAGATGCATTAGCCTTGTTTTCCTCCATGGCTTCTCTTTTAATGTTTTTATCAATCCTAACTGCACATTATGGTGAAGAAGATTTTCTCAGGAGACTACCTGAGAGAATAATATTGGGTCTGGCTTCTTTGTTCTTTTCTATAGTAACTACAATGATTGCATTTGGTGCAGCTCTAGATTTGTTGGTAAGGGATAAACTAAAATGGGCGTCAATTCCAATTGCCCTTCTGGCTTGTATCCCAGTTGCTCTATTTATAAGGCTTCAACTTCCCTTGTTCATACAAATGATCATATCAACTTATGGTTCTCGCATATATCACTCTCAAAGCGTTTGGTAAGGCTTTTGTGCTGTTCCAGCATATGAAAAACAATTTGAAAGCATGGAAACCAAAATCAATATAACAGGGTCAACGAGGTTGACTCAATTGACAGGATCAGGTGCATTGGTTTTGGTTGTGGATAAGCCTATGTTGTCTCCTAATTTTTTCTTCTTATTTTGTATGAAACTTTGGGTGACTTCTATATGTTTGGCAGCTAGAGAAGCATATGTCTCATCAGCTTTGGAATTTGTTATTCTTTAGTGTGATATAATTTGGAGTTGAAGTACAGTGAAAAATAGATTGTGGCTTGTATTTACTAATTTACAGATAAAATCCTTTGAAGAGCTAATATTGTCTCACTAACGCTTGGAGAACCAGAACCGATTTGAAAGTTTCTCAGTTTATTTTACATGTCAAGAAGAGTGAGTTTCATTTGGTATGTCTCTTGATACTTTTTGATGATGAGAATATCGATGAACAAGACATGTACTGGGTTTGAAAATTGTACTATAACTACTGTAATTTGTTAGATCATAAAATACTTACTAGGCCGCAAAAACTAATGTAATTTATAACGTATGTTACATGCACAAACATTTTCTCACAGAAAGGTCAGATTTTAAATCTTCATTCTCCCAATGTTTACTTTTAATCTTATAGCTTTAAATTTCCAATGCATTCAAGGTTTTGTATATGTGTGACTCCTTCGGCACATTTAACATTTTTCAATACTTAATCCCAAGTCTACTTTGTTTGCAGATCAGCACATCCGCAAATAGACGTACTTTCCCTGTTTCACTTGCCAGCTCGCTGCCCTACAGATTGAAAATTAATTCGCTGTTTTAAATAAAAATACATATTTTAATAAAAACGTATGATTCAAGTTAATTCAAACTCACATCTCAATCATATTTAATGATTCAAAATAAATTTAGTTAACGTTAAACCAAACTAGGTTAGCCCTGTGATCCACCAGCTAATCTAAAATCCCAAAACCACGTTTCCAATTAATGGTTTATATTTTACCGAACAAATTAATTTAACACAGAAATTCGTTTTATTTACACTACGGTCTCTGAATTCCAAAATGTAAACTAGTTTGTTGAATTTAAAAGACACACGTCTACTAGTCCTTGAACACAAGGTTTAGAAACCAAAAGAACTACACATTTTATTTAAGAACTCATTGGACAAACAAATTTACAAACTAAACTGCAAATGAAAATAATTCAATAATTTTCCCTTTAAATATATCTGCTCTGTGAAATAACACCCTCGACCTTATTATATGCTTAGGATCTTGCTTATTCTGGCCATCAATCATGGTTCTGAAGCTACTTCGGCAGTTCAACAACTGTCAGGTACAAGCAAATGCGTTCCAAGATATGCATGATTAAGTACATGCTTGGTTTGACATTTATATTGGTTGAACTCACGTTTAATTGGAGAAAAAGTGTAGTTATGGACGGGCTTTCCATGCCTATAAACCGAAAATCTAGACATTCTATGATGTATAAACAAAATTAATGGGTCAACAAAATGAAAAACAGATAGACATCAAATTCAGGATAACACCAAGGTACTAAAATCAAATGCACTATAAAGTTGTAATGGTAGAAGTAATTAATTTTAACAGAACTCACTATAATTAAACAATACATGTTTCGGGCTATATTTTACACCCATATACCCCTCCCTCCCTGAGAAAGTAGATAGACCTCCTGGCAAAACTGATCATCTGATTGTCTGTGTTTAATAGCTTCAAGAAATTCTTATTCAAAGATGAGGAAGAGCGAAAATATCTTAAGCACCACCACCACCCTTGCCCTTCTTCCTCTGAATCTTCTTCATGTAAAATTCTAGCTCTTTGCCCTCCAATATGTACCTGAAAAAAATTCAGAAGAAATTAAGTGCTCACAGCCAGAACCATTAAATTTGAAGTTAGAATATTGTCCATTTGGCAATACTGTCAACCATAATTCATAATTGAAGTCAGTTTCAAAGACATGTTGCTTTAGATACAATGATAAAATTACTAAATTAAAAATTTCAAGAATGCATCAAAATCCAGATCTTGCGATTCCTTTTTACCAGAGTAAATCATAACCTATCTGGAAATCATGACACAACATGAGAGCTATCATTTAGGATGAGGAAGCCAAGGCCACCATGATTGTTTTAATCACTTATTTTTTAGCCCTATCAGGATTTAAATTCTAGCTCATCCATATATATGCCCTTGCAAATGTTATGATTGTTCTGACCACAAAAAGCAATTCCAGAATTACAATCTTATTGGGGTGCGGGAAAGCATATACTTGATATATCTCTGATAGTTATTCAGTAAAAGTGACATACCCATCAGCACGACCGCATTGGCCAGGTCGGGATGATATACAAGCCAAAAGGCAACCACCTCCAAATTGCTCTTCAATGTGAGGATCAAGCACCCGGTTCTGCTTCCGCTTTTCCAATTTTCTCAAAACATGGTTACTCTTCTTCATCTCCTCAGTTGCACCTTCAACATCCTGTTAAAAAAGAAATATTGATATGTAAAGAAATAATCTAAGGTTATCAGTCAGTCAAGTAAGAAACAACTATGGAATATTTTTTTAAGAGAAAAGCTACAATAGATTAAAAATGACGATAATCTTATTCTAATTTTCAAGTATAAACTATTTCATATAGCATAAGCGACCTGGTTTCAGAACTCACTTTAGAGAAATTTTATTCTGCATTGAAACTTTATACCCCTTAAATAATTCAAAATTAACAATTTCATATAGAGGTTTAGTGGAGCATTCTAACCAAATAAAGTTCACAATTCACATACTGATAAAACTAAGCAATGAAACTAGATGAGATAATTAAATTGAATTAGAAGAATAATCCACACACAAAAGCAAAGGATGCAAGTTTCCAAATTCCAACAGCCAACATTGGCAAAATCTATTCCATGAAATCTCAAGCACATTGTCAAACTCGGAAAGCATTCAAAAGGGACAAAATCAACTTGTTGTACCTCCCCTTCCTTCTTGGCAGAAGTTGCACTCTTCTTCTTGCGCCCGAGGTCGACCCCGTAATGTTGAAGATACCATTGCTTAAAAGGTGCTGCATCAACCTGAACAATGGCACTCTTGACCAATGTCTGAGTACGAACCAACTCATTGTTGGACGCATTATACACCACATCAAGAATCCTTGTTTTGCGAGTCACAGCTTCACTCCCCCAAGAGTAGTTCCCAGTATCAAGCCTCAATGCACGCCACTTCACATTCCCACCTCGAACCCTAATCCTCCTAACAGTTTTGTTGCTTGATAACTTCGTGTTCGCCGGTTGCCTCCCAAGCTCATACCTTTAAACCAAAAAAGAAAAAAAAAAAAACCATTAAACACAATAATTATTTAAAGAAAATGATTTTGTTAATCTCTTCTCAGCCGAGCTGAGTTTAAGCATCTATGAATATTAAATAGTATACTAAATAATTTCTTTTCCGAAAAAAATTGACCACTTTCAGTTGCTTATATTCGACCCTAACAAAATAAATAACTAAAATAATTCTCTGGTTAAAATTAGAATTTCACTCTGCTAAACCCTTAATTTGTTAGTTACGGAAGTACTTAAAACTCTAATTTTGATTGAAAAATAATGTGGCAGTTAAGTTTTGTCAAAAAAATAGAGTAAAATAATAAAGCAGATAATACTGAATTATTTAAAATGCAATCAATTAATAATAAAGAATAATTAGTTAGAAGAATTTACTTTCTCTTCTTCCTCCAAGCTTTCTTCTTGCCACCAGTGGCGCGCCTCTTGTGCATGGAATCACGAGAGATACATAAATAAATTCACATGAATTAGCATCATCATCATCACGGTATGAGAGAGAGAGAGAGAGAGAGTATCCATTTTGTAAGAAGAAGAGAACGGTGGTGCAGCTCCGAGCTCCGGCTGGTCACTTCACCTTTTCAGGACGACAAAAAGAAGAAGAAGGGGTAGGGTTAAGAACTCATTGGGCTCCAATCAAGGCCAACTTTTAATTATAATAAAATGAAGCCCAATTTCTCTTAGAAGAACTTTTTGGGCTTAACACTCCCTTTCTTCAGGTAAAACAAATCAAGAAAGAAAAAGTAAATATATTTTTTTAACAATTTATTTAGGCATTTTTATTCAATGTAAAAATAAAATTGATTTTTATATCACTATATTTTTTTTACCATTTTTATGTTTAAATTTTATAATATATTAAATAATCTTACACAAATTAATTTTAAAAAATCATGTATAAATTACTTTAACTTTTAAAAGTATAAAATCACTTTTAAAACTTAAATTTTAAAAGGTAATTTACGAATAACTTTAAAATATACTAATAAATTTCTATTGTAATGTACATGTGTTATTGACAATAAATATTATATCTAACATCTAATATTTAAATAAAAGTTTTAAAATATAAATACTCAATATTTCATGACATAATAAAAAATAATGAAATCCTAAATTTTTTTGATTTAAATGACTGTTAAAAATAATTTTATTTAAAAAATAAAATTTGTAAATTATATATAGAAATAAATTACCCATACTTCTCAAAATTAAAATTTAAAAGTAAAAAAATAAAAAATAAAAAAGTGTACTTGTGTAACCAATAAGAAAGAGGTGCACGAGGCTCAACCAATCCTATGGGTTGCATAACATGCTGTCTTGTGGATGACAAAAAAAAAAAGTATCATGTGTACCTTGATTCCTTTTATTGCAATGAACATATATTGTTTGTGTTCCCACTTCCCAGAAGACACAAACCTTAAATGTTTGTTGCTTCCTAGGCTTAAAGTTAACGCCTTTGGGATTCTCAAGGATGGGATTCTCAGTGGCAGCTTCGTGGGGTTCCCATATTGTGCTGAGAGACACTCGTGCAACAATCAAGTGCCAATCATTTTGCACAACAGAACTCAATCATAGGATTGGCTTCAAAAGCTCAAAGCAAAAGACCCTTCAAAGAGCAATTTTTCTAAGCAAGCATGAGTCAATTGAATTGGATGAGAGGAAGAGCCCAGATGAGGTAACAGTGACGCCCTACTTAGCATTTACCATCTTCTTTATGACACACGTGTTAAAGTTAGTGTCTTTTGATTATATATGATGGGAATTAGTGAAAGTGGAAATCCGTTTCTGTTATGAGCTTAAGTTGTTCAGAAGTTTTCTCAAACAAGCCCTTAATTGAAATGCTTGAAGAGTAGCTACTAAATCAATATGTAAACTGTGGGGTGACAACTGATAGTGATAGCTATATTATGTGTCAGTTAATGTGTTATACTGAATGTTATTTATGGAAATTTTTCTTCTTTTACAATGTCGGTAAGGTAGGAATTGGTATTCTGGAGAATTTTCTAATTATTGATGGAAATTGATTACTTTTGTAGTGGAAGTTGTTGTTGTTGTTGTGAAGGATTAGGTTCTGGATAGGGAAACTGGAATAGACAAATGTTTAGGTTTTGGAACTGCAGTGAGGTTGGGTATTTGGCCTGAAACCTTTCAGAAAGTAGTTGCAAACAAAGTTTGTAAAAGTGAGACGACAGGGTCATTGCTGGGGTGTTAGTCAGAAGTGATAATTGGCGATAATTTTATGTGATTGCTGATGAATGATGGTTTAGCAAATTTATTCAGTTTCTATTGGTCGTAATTGTTGAAAATACTTGAAAGACAACGAGATTTTATGAATGAAATGCTTAGAAGAAGCCCAGAATTTCAATTTATATTGAATTACATTTTATATAAAAAAAAAGATGAATTTGGGACCGTGCGTACCTTTTTTTTTTTTCTTCTTAACCCTGATATTAAATGAAAAACTGAGTTCTAACAGAAATTTTCATTCTATGTTGAGAAAATTTCTCTGTGACCTTCCCTATGGTGGGCCTGGTTTCTACTAACATTATTTGTATCTACAAGGTTTCATGTTAGTCATGAAAGTCAAATTTTTAGTAGGGTTTTGAGTAGCTGTGGGCTCCTAGCATTTATACAAGAACTTGCTGATTTTACTGCCTTGAAGAGTTCCGATTCTGAAATTTGTTTTCAATTTTCATTTTCTTATTGTGTTTTTCCTCATTCCATTTGGTGGTAGTAAATATACGGATAAACCTCATTTGAGGGAGTGAGCGTCAGCAGTGTAAGATGCAATTTATGATAGACAGTGTTGCAGGACTTTGGGTATATTATATCTAGTTTGGACTTGAGCAATATATTTCTGGCCTTAATCAGGCAAATGTCACTTAAGGATTTTTGGACTTAACATTTCAACCCCTGGTGTAACCCTTTGGTGTTCTATGCAGCTCTATGAAGCAATAAAGAAATAATAAGTCAAGTTTTTGGTATACAAGTGTAATGGCAGGCCCTGATCCTACAAATATGAGTTCTCTAGAAAAAGCACTTTTCACAGACAGTTCTTCTCTGCTATTAACCTTTTTCCCTCTTGTCTAACCCAATATTTTTTACAGTCCTTTGGAATTCCAATAAATGTCCAGCAAACTGACTTCTCAGTTTTGTTTTTTTATTTTTTTTATACTATCATTATTACAGGTTCGAGAAGAGATTAAAAAATGTTATGAACTCATAAACAGATTAGGGAGAGGAGTTGTGTATCTGGGTTCTTCAAGGATGGGATCTGACCATTCCCATTACGTACTAGCACAAGGGCTGGCTAAAGATGTAAGTTAATTCTTACTATAGCTTCCTGGTTCTATTTTTGGATTACTTGCTGGTGGGTGGGTATTATATAAGATCTCATTTGGTTGTTAGCTAATTACACTGTTTCTGTTATTAACTATTGCGATAGTGACAAGGGTCTTTTTAAGTTTTGATCATTATTTCTAGATATCTTGCTGTGCAGATAGCAAATCTTTTGGATTGCACTTCTTGGTCAGGGGCTGGACCAGGGCTAATGGATGCTGTTACTCAAGGCGCTATGCTAGCTGGAAAGCCAGTTGGCGGATTGAAGATAGGAAAAGAAGCTATGGAATGGACAGCATCCTCCTTTCATCCATACTTACCATCAGAAAATTACCTCACCTGCAGGTAATCTACTGCCATTGCTCAATAACTTTTTGAGTTCGCTATTAAGATTGTTATAACTTTTGAGTTCAGGTTTTTCTCTGCAAGGAAGCATGGTCTGGTGGATGCTGTAGTGCGGAACGATTCCTTTGATAGGACTGCTGTTGTTGCCCTTCCTGGTGGAATTGGTACTCTAGATGAGATGTTTGAGATACTGGCATTAATTCAACTAGAACGGATTGGATCAAAGTTTCCTGTTCCCTTCCTGTTGATGAACTATGATTCATTTTATTCAAAGCTTCTTGACTTTTTAAATGATTGTGAAGGTTGGGGAACTGTCTCTGATGGCGAGGTTGAATCACTGTGGAAGGTTTGTAACAGCAACTCAGAAGCTTTGGATTACCTGACAGATTTCTATTGCATTTCATCTAGTGACAGAGAGAAGAATGTGACTAAATATAGCACATATGAATCTCCCTCCTTATAGAAATTTTGCTCTCCCTTTTTCTGAATATGTTATTACTTTCTCTGAAAAGCTTGAACCGAAGAATATTCTCCTCAATTATTGCAATCTTTCCAGTTTCTATGGTTGACATTTGGCATGTGCAGTAGTGAGTTCTGGTTGCATACAAAATGTATCTTAGGCTTTGTTTGGGGGCTTTATAAAAATTTATAATTCAATTAACTAGGTATAAACTATAAATTTTCAGCCATAACTTATAAACTTTCATTAAGTTTAATAACTACCAAACGCATTCTAAAACCATCAATACCTAAGGCCTTTGAACCTCCCAAACTTTTTCTTGCTTTTCTAATTTCAAAATCACTCACTTTAGCTCAAAGCTATATCTTAACTTCAACTCAAAGTTCATCTTGTTGTGGACATAAGAGTTGGAAAATATTGAGCAAAATATATGAACAAGGACTAGGATAGCCTCTTTAAACGAATAAAAATTATTCTCTCTATTTCACGTCTACTTGTTATTTTTATTTTTAGCTATTTTTAAAACTTGTACTATATTAGAAAAATAAGTATTTATTATTTTTATATAATAGATACTTATTTTTTTAATAAAATTTTATTAGTTTTATATGCATAAAAGCAGTCATAAAAACTACGTTCATACCCGTTTAAAAATAAATATATATTAACTTAATTAAGTCTTTATTATTAAAAAAATAGTTTTTTATTTAGTATCTCATTTTAAAGATTTTTAAATAAGTCATTTTTAGTTTTCTAATAAAATTATTTTTTTATAATTTTTATTTTTTAGTTGATTCCTTTAAATGTTATAAATGTCACAATCTTTTCATTTGGTTCATATAAATGTCATGAATTTTTTATTTAGACTTATTAAGGTAAAATACTAAATAAAATTTCATACTATTTACAGAGATCAAATAAAGTAAATAAAAACTATTTATTACAAAAATTTATGAAAAAGTATTTAAAAATATTTAATTAAATAAAAAATTATAAATATTTTAAAATTAAAACCTTAGTTGTTCTATTTTATTTTATTTTATTTGAATTCCGTATCTATCATGTTGAGTTTAAACGATTTGCAAATATAATCTCGTAACATTGAGGGGAAAAAAAAACCGCTTAAACAAAATTTTACTCCTTTTGTAAAAGTTGTTACATTTAGAGTTGGTTCTTAAAAATAATTTATTAAGATTTAGTTTTTAACAAATCAGACAAATAAAAAATTAATCTTTATTATTAACCTTTGATATTTTAAAATGAAACTTGAAATAAATTTTTGTTCCACATTAAATTTATTGCGTTTGAAATTAATTTTTTTCAAAAAATTGTTAGAATTTTACTCCCTAACAAATTGAGTAGATTTTTGTTGGCAACCTTTCTTAACTAAGAGTTGAATTAACTATGAAAGTTTCAAATCACTCACGTTTCAAGTACTTAGAATAGCATTAGTTTCAACTCACACTACATAACATGTGAAAACATCAAATTGAAACTTCATTGCTTAACTCAACGTATAACTAACAGGAATTAATAAAATGGACTAATTTTTATTTTCTTGATTTAGAGACTAAGTTCAAACGGAATGACGTAAGCATTTCCTATTCATTGCTCCATTATTTGCTTTAATGCAAATACTATAGCTGACAGCTAATTGCACATTGTGCATAATTGCATGTCAAAACATCGAATTGATTGTCACAAATATGCTTTAAACGTAAAATAACTCAAAAGTAGTTTTCAATATAAGTGGAGTATGTGATTTTTACCTTTTTTTTTTTTTGTAAGAACAGCTCTTTCTTAACTTTTGATTAAGAAAATGGTTTAACTTTTTTTTTTCGCTGAAGCAACTTCTCCATCAACTATTTGCAGCAGGTTTTTTTGGGTAAGCAAGCCATCCGAAAACTGCAAATGCAAAAAAGTAATGTTCATAGGGTAACATAAAAAATAAGTATAGCAAGGGACCCGTGCGATATTAATTGCATGAATTATTTAATTTATTACGTATATAAGGAACATATTTTGAAAAGTATGCAAACTAAACACATAAATAAAACTTATTTCACCTTACCTTGTTTTAATATATCTATATAGATATGTTCCTTGTGGAATTTTCTGTGATTCTATTGCATGCAAAATTGTTGTGTGACTCTAGACGGAAAAAAGGAAAACCAATTTGTGTTGCAATTGTCTATAAATATTCTATATTGTTGTTGCTTAAGTGGCCGATTTTGAGTCCGCTGAATCATACAATGACTCCAACTAAAGAAAGAGTTTGTTGGATGACTTTTACTAATGAACTATACATTTTTGTTCTTATTCCTTTCTGTTTTGTTCTCTTCCTGAGTAGTCTAACATTGGTCTGATCTCACCGGAGTTCTTAAACGAAGTTCGTAGTGATCCAAGATTTCTGCAAAAGAGAGTGCAATGCTCAAGTCAATAACAGTTGTGGAACAATTTTCGTTTTCTCTGTCTGTTTTATTTTTATTTTTTTTAGTAAATAACCATTTTAGTTTTTCAAATTATAAACCTCGATCATTTTAACTTTTGAATTTACAAAAGTTTCACATTAATATTTAATTTTACAAAACAATATTCATTTTAGTCTTTTTTTTTTTAAGAAAATGAAAATAAAAATTGAAGTAAAGAAGGATTATTAACATGAGTGATGTTTAAAACATTAAAGACTATAGTGAGACATGTTATCTCAAATAATTGCTAATAATATCCTCACCTATCTTATCCAATAATGCAAGTAGTTTAGAGATAAGACCTGGCTACAATACAGTACTCAGTATTCATCTCACAGTATAGCTAAACTCAGATGGCGGAAATGGCTGTGTCTCTTGCTGTTGATCAACTGCTTCCACTACTACGGGAAGAAGCCAATCTGCTCAAAGGCATTCACAAAGAATTTGCTGACATAAAAGATGAACTTGAAAGCATCCAAGCCTTTCTTAAGGACGCAGATAGAAGGGCTGTGGCAGAAGGAGAAAACACAGATGAAGGAGTCAAAACATGGGTGAAGCAGGTGAGAGAAGCAGCTTTTCGCATAGAAGATATCATTGAAGAATATCTGATCTACACGGGAAAGAAGCCTCATGATCCCGGATGTGTAGTCTCACTCAACAAGATTGCTCACCTGATCAAAACTCTGATTCCTCGTCACCGAATAGCATCTGAGATTCGGGATATTAAGTCACATGTTCGAGGAATCAGAGAAAGAAGTGAAACATATTCTTTTGAACGAGGATCAAGTAGTTCTGGAGGAAGCCAAAATGTCCAATGGCATGACCCTCGAATGGCTTCCCTTTTTGTTGAGGACGCTGAACTTGTGGGCTTTGAAGAACAAAGAGATAAATTGATTGGTTTGTTAGTAGAAGGTCCAAAAGAACGCACTGTCATCTCTGTGGTAGGAATGGGAGGACAGGGTAAGACCACTCTTGCCAACAGGGTTTTCAACAACCAGAAGGTGATTCGCCACTTCCATTTTCATGCATGGATCACAGTGTCTCATTCCTACAGGGTGGAAGGGTTGCTGAGGGACATGCTGCAAAAGTTTGGCAAAGAAAAAAAGGAAACTCTTGAAATGGATCATAAGACATTGATTGAAGAAGTGAGAAACTGCTTGCAACAGAAGAGGTATGTTGTCGTGTTTGATGATGTATGGAATCCACATTTTTGGGATGTTATTCAATTAGCTGTAGTTGATAATAAAGAAGGAAGTAGGATACTTATCACAACTAGGAGAGAAGATGTTGCAATGTCCTGTAAGAAATCTTCTTCTGTTCATGTTCATGTGCACAAGTTGGAACCTTTATCTGATGAAAAATCTTTGGAACTATTCAATAAGAAGACATTTCCTGATTTCAATGGACGTTGTCCAGATGATTTGGTGGAAATATCTTGTGAAATCGTTAAAAAATGTAAGGGCTTGCCACTAGCAATTGTGTGCATCGGTGGTCTTTTATGTTCCAAAGGAATAACTACTGCACTTGAATGGAAAAGGTTTAGTAATAATTTAAGTTCAGAATTGGGGAAGAATTCCAGTATATCTAAAATTTTAGGTTTTAGTTATGATGATTTGCCCGACTATCTTAAGCCATGCTTGCTGTATTTCGGGATGTATCCTGAAGACTATGCAGTTAAACCGAAAAGACTCATTCGACAGTGGATAGCTGAAGGGTTTGTAAAATATGAAAAGGGGAAAACCTTGGAAGAAGTTGGACAACATTATTTAACAGAGTTGGTTGGTAGAAGTTTGGTGCAAGTACGTTCATTTACCATTGATGGAAAAGTTGGTGCTTGTCAAGCTCATGACTTGACGCGGGAGATGATCCTTGAAAAATGTAAGTATTTAAGATTTTGTGAGTATATTGGTGAAGACAGTGAGCTAGTGTCAAGTGGAGGGATAACTCGGCGCCGATCAATAAAAACCACATCTGATGCTTCCATGGAAAATACTGAGGGCTCACATGTTCGGACACTGTTTTTCTTCTTACATGATATTATGCCTACTTTCTCAACCTGTGTGGAGAAACTCCCCAAAAAATACAAGCTATTGAAGGTACTTCATTTTGAAAATGCTTACAATTTGTTGTCCTTTCCCAAAAGTTTGGGAGATTTAATCCACCTGAGGTATTTAAGCCTCGAGTATTTAACCATTGGAAATCTTCCAAAATCCATTGGTAACCTCCAGAACCTAGAGACCTTGAATATAATTGGTACATACATCAGAATCATGCCAAAGGAAATCTACAAGCTTAGAAAGCTAAGATATCTTTCGGGAACCCAGCTGAAATTGATTCAAACGAAGGATGGTATTGGAGGAATGACTTCCCTCCAAACGCTGAAGAAGGTGAGAATAACCGATGATGATGGAGTTGAGCTAATTAGAGAGCTAGAAAAGCTTACGCAGTTAAGGAGCCTAGGCTTGACTGGTATTGTACCAAAACATGAAAGAGCTCTATGTTCCTCACTAAAGCAGATGCAACAGTTGGAGAAACTATTTATTGATTGTCATTCGTTTGATGATGTTATTGATTTGAGTTTGGTTTCATCCCCTCCTAAGTTTGTTTCGAAGCTTTCCATTGAATTGAAGTTGACTAAGTTACCAGAATGGGTTCAAGAGCTGCAAAATCTTGCAAAATTAACCTTGCGTTGCTGCAAGTTAACTGAAGATCCCCTGAAATCATTACAAAATCTTCCAAATTTGATGTACCTTAATATTGATTACGAAGCTTATGTAGGTGAAAGTTTGCATTTTCAAGGAGGGTTTCAGAACCTAAAGGAACTAATCCTAGGTCGTTTAACTGACTTGAATTCCATTGTCATGGAGAAAGGAGCAATGAGTTCTTTGGAAAGGCTAACCTTTTATGGTCTTCCCTTACTCAAGACCGTACCCCTTGGCATTCACAATTTAGAGAAACTTCAAGTTTTCCAAGTGAGGGGGAACATGTCTGTTCAATTTTCGGACAGCATTGCTCCTGATGGAGGACAAGATCGCTGGATCATACAGCATGTGCCCTATGTAAGCATTGATGCGCTCAGGTGATGGAAATCAAACCTTAGAAATAACTGCATTATGATATTCTTGGTATTGTGTACTATTTGCTCATAAGGACAATGTAACCTTTATCTAATTCTTAAAATCATTTCTCCATTTTCGAGTTTCTTTTTTCTTCTAGTGCATGGTCAAGTTTTGCAAACTTTTAGAGAAAGTTTTTATAGAGAAAAGAAAAAAAAAAGACAGTATGAGAAATTAAATAAAACTTTTTTCATAAATTATAACTTATCTTTTCAAAGTTTTAAGAAATTAAATAAAAGAAACTAGAAAATAAAGAAACATAATTAAGGATAAAAATGTCCCAAAGGAGAATAGTAACCTTAAGAAGCTAGAACACCTTTTGGGTAACAAAATGTCTTTGATTCAATTGAAGGATGGTCTTGGAGGCATGGGATCCCTACAAACACTACGTGAAGTGGAAATAGGTAATGATGGAGTGGAGCTAATTGTTGAGCTAGGAATTCTAAAGTAACTAAGGAAATTAAACTTGTCTGGCATTAAAGAAGAACATGGTAGTGCTCTATGCTCATCATTGAATGAGATGCAACACTTGGAGAAACTAGTTATTGTTGCACAAACTACAAATGAAGTCATTGATGTGAGTTTCATTTAATCACCCCCTAAGCTTCAAAAGCTTTACTTGATATTGAAGTTAAATAGGGTCGTCACTGTGTGTTCTACAATAGAAGTAAACTTTGATAAGCATGCAGGGTGGCGTTGTACAGTTAAAAAAGCTAAGTTTAAATTTCATGTGGCCAAAAGTAGGGCTGTCTAATGGATCGGATCGAGTTCGGGTGTGGTTGGCTCAAGAAATTCAGGTTAAACGGGTTGCAGTTTAAGCGGGTTAGAAAATCAAGTTAGACTAATTTGAGTCCAAAATGATTTTTTCACAAAAAATGATCAAAAATTTTATTTTTTCATTTTTTAAGTTCAATTTTAATTTTTTTTATTTGCATATTTTTTCTCCAACAGAATATATTACAGAATTAGAATTTTTGAAAAAAAATATATGATAAATAATAGATTAAAATAAATTTTTATATTAAAGTTAAATCATAGTTCAGTTGAAAAAATATAACTAAAATTATAATAAATCTAAATCTTACACAACAAATTTTAAATAAAATAAAAATAATCAATCTAAATCTACTTATTTACATGCTTTTCAAGAAGAAAAAATTAGAAATATTAATTGAACCCTAAATTTAGTACTCAAATATATGACTGAAAAAATAGAAAGAGATTTACTATATTTTAGGTTCAATAGCGACTAACTATGCACTTCTAGAATTCTAATTTTTTAACATTAATTTAATATGCAGTCACGTTAGTTTGAGTGTCAATCCCCTCACTTGAACCTAGGGATGACAATGGATAAAAGATTCGGTGGACACCTACAATGGGTAGGGTATTTATCCACTACATGAGATAAATACTTACGAATTTTAATGGGAATGGGTGCGGGTGTGGGTATGTAAGTACCCACCCTGCTCTAACCCGTACATATATATATAAAACTTTATTTTACAACTATATATTAAATTTTTATATTATTATACTATTTATATAAAGTTATATAAGATTAATATAAAATATATTTAAAAATAAAGTAAACCAAAAAATTTATTTTGTCTTATATTTTTAATAGAATAATTTATTTACTACTTTATATTGTTTAATTAGACTAATATAATTTAATTATTACATAATTGATATGAGATTGACTTTTTTAAAAATACTATTTCTATATGACACACATATAAAATAATTTTTACACAAATATTTTTGTTAATAAAATTATATTGATATTTAAATCATAAAGTTAATGATAAATAATAAATATATTATAAATATTTTATAAATTTTATAATCACTTACTATTAACGTAGGCTTATTATTTATTGATAATATTTAAATTATATTTTTATATTTTAATTTAAAATAATATTTTCTTATACAACATGTACATTGAATCTAAATAATATTAATCTTACCATTTAATTTATCAAAAAAGTTTTTGAAAAGATATGAAATATAAAAGGTAAGTTTTTCATACTTGATATCTACCACATGGTAATATTTTTTTGTTTAGGGTGCATTTGGATATATAGCTTAATTAAGTGCTCATTTAATAAGTTCTTTTTAAATGATGACTTATGGCATATATTTAATTGTGAAACTTATCAGAATAAGTTGAACATAACTTATTTTGAAAAGTTATACCAAGAAACTCATTGAAATTAGCTAAAAGGAGCTTATGAGAATCATAAATTACTTTCACAAGTCATGCATAAGCTCTTCTAAACAGGTTCAGTCATAAAACACTGTAATATTTGTCTAATTCCTAAAACATTTTCCTCATTTTTGCCTCTATTTCTATTTTTCTGTATTAATATTTTAAAATGATTCTACACTACTAATTAGAAACAATAAATTAAGATATTTCAAGGCATTGTCCCGGTTCCCCTTGAGTTTTTGTAGTTGCAAACTTTCATTGTAAATTGCCTTACATTTGTAATAAGGCTTTGTAATCATATTGTGCTCTGAATTGGTTGGTGCTAGGTAGGCTACTGGTGATATGGAAATTCGGATTCTCCATGATGCCATTTTACTATTCTTGCTCTGGCACTTAGTCCCCAAATAAAGAGACTACGTATGTGGAGTTGTCTTTCTTTAATAAAGGAGGAAGAAGCCTCTAAATGAACGAGTGATTCAAGAAATTTCCTTTTTGATTCAACTCATTTGTGGTGTATCATTAATGCTAGACGTTATGAGTTTATCTTTCAAAGATTATATGACCTTGTTTTGGTTGATTTATGCCTTTCCTTTTTGGAATGAGAAAACAAAAGTTTCGTATAATTTATTCGCTTTTACAATTTTTCCTTGCATATTTAATTCCATTTTTCTGTGAAATTTTCCTCTCTGTCTATTCGTTCTCTTGTGGATATGTTCATTCATCACACCAACATTCCTTGCTTGTTTATCTAAATAAGCGAAGAGAATTATTTCCATCTTTTTTAGTTTTATCAATCTATTTTTACTTTTATTTTCCTTAAAGATTTCTAATGAACAAAAGACTCGTCCTCCGTTTGGTAGAGTGGAAAGAAAGAAATGGGAACAAAAAAACAATTAATTGAACTTAAATTGAAGGGAATGCACATAGGTTGATATCCTGTTAAGTATTAATTGAAGTTCAACATCAAGCATCTGTTATTATACAAGCGTGAATATTTAAAATTTAGTGTACTAGGACCAATTATAGGACTAACATCAGTGACACTTTCCTTAAAACACGAAAAAAAATTTTATGTTATCACCCATCGTGATCCTGACCAATAACAAGATGACCCGTATGTTATGTTTTTTCTAAGAAATTAGACATGTTATGAGACGTGGGTGTCTGGAACTAGCTAAAATTTCTCCTTAAAAATCCCATCTCCTTCAGGGTAATCTTTCCCAGATAACAAGCTCCAACTGATAAATTTTTTTATCGGTTCATTTACTCAAGCTTGGAAATTTGGAAGTTCAATAAACCAACTGGCCTGATTGTTATAAACTGTAACTCCATTTGCTAGAACAAATTTTATCCTTCTCTTGAATGTGCTTGTAGTATGTGTTTGATTCATCTCAACCATAGATTTTACTTCGTAAAGCAAGTTTTACTGACTGAACCTAAATCCAAACAAGCACTAAAATATTATTCTGCAAAAAAAAAAAAAAGAGTTGTTTTTCTGACGTGTATTTTATATGAAAGTAATAAATAACAAATTTTTATTAAAAAATTGTAACATTTAATGTTTTTATGCTTTAAATTCTATGATATTTTATAATTTACAATAAAAATTACTATACCTTAACACATATTAGAAAAGTCGAAAAAAATATCAGTCATAACACAATTTATTTATCTATGTACAATCAGATCCGACAAATACCAACTTCAACTTCCTCCAACCTCAGCATCTTGTTATAACAAAATTTATTTTTATTTAAATACCAGTCAAAAACTAGTTTAAGGTTAGAATGCAGGACCATATAATACAGTTTTTTGCCTAGTTTTGTGACCAGGATATAGCATTAGTGAATGAAATATCCACGAGAAAAAGAATAGGCAGAGGAGACTAACATAAAACGATAGCAGAATAACCAAGAAAATGTTTAGAAATGCAAAGAATTATATGAAATTTCTTTTCCTTATTACAAATTTGAAAAGCATATACATTCAACATAATATAAAGTCTTACAATCCTTGAAAGAGAAACTCTCATAACATGCATGTCGCATACACGATACAACGACATTATTGTGCAAGGCTACATGAAGAATCTGAATTTCACAGCATTGGAAGCCTTGCACCTACAAATTCAAAGCACAATATTGTCATGGAGAATTAAAATGAAAGGCTTACAACTAAATACCTCTTGCAAGGCCAGAATTATACCTTGTAATTTCTTATTATTGATTAATTTTATCCTTAGTGTGTTGTAGAACAAAATAAATAAATAAAGCATATATCAGAAGAGAAGTGAACCCAAAGTAGATGAATAAGATAATAAACACTGCCAAGAATGACTCAGTTTGGGTAAGCTTTTGAAAAAGCACTAATAGGAAAAGAAATTATGGAGATAAAACAAATAAAAGACTTTTCATAAGTTAAAATCAAGTTATACATAACGAGCATAAGTTGATTTTAACTTACCAAGAGAAGTTTGATTCATTTTTCATCTTTATTTTGTGTATATCTATAATCTACTTATTGAGAAGTTAATCCAAATTGAGCCAATATCATTATGCAGATAATATGAAGAAAAAATCAAACCTCTTTTTGCCAAAGGTTCTTATCAATAGCACGCACTGCTAAATAATTCTTGCGAAGGGCACATTGGCAACAATGTTCTGCTCAAATTCAATTGGCATATCCTGAATATTGAGAACTTCAAGTTTCTTTAAGTGATAAATGTCAGAAGGTTCCATCTTCAGTTTGGGGATATTCTTCAACCCAAGCTTTTTGAGAGACTGCAGTGCTCCTTCGTCAATAGAGATGGAACTTAAGCTCTGCAAAGATTCGAGTTGAAGTTCCTTTAGTCTTTGAAATTCTCCAGCTCGAAATTGTAAACTTTTGCCTTCATAACCTTCATGGACAATAGATAGGATCAACAAATTTGGCACTCTTTCTAGAAACTTCAATGAATCATTAGTCAACTTTGATCTAGACAAGATCAAGTGAAGATTGTTGAGGCCTTGAATCCACTCTGGAAACTTTTTTAACTTCCCATGTAGGTGAAGCTTATGAAGCTTATGTGGGGATGAATGGAAATCCAAATCAATGACATCATTATCATCTTCTGTAGAAATATATAGTTTTTCCAACCGATGCATGTTATTTATTGAAGAACATATAGTGCTTCCATGTTCTTTCCCAACATTAGTCAAGCCCAACTTCCTCAACTCCAAAAGCATTCCTAACTCTCTGATTAAATCCACTCCATCATGATCTATTCTAACTTCATGTAGAGTTTGTAGGGATGTCATGTCTCCAATGCAATCCCTCAACAGAATCAAGGACATTCTGTTAGCCAAAAGATGTTGTAGATTTTGAAGTTTGCTTATCTCCTTTGGCATCTCATGTACACCTGTTTGCCTTAGATCCAAGGTCTCCAAGTTTTGGAGCAAACCAATGGATTTTGGAAGACTTTCTACTCGTGTATTCCTGAAGCTTAAATACTTCAAGTGGAGTAAATTTCCCAAATTATCAGGAACACAATACAATCGAGCATTTTCAAAATCAAGCACCTTCAACAGCCTATATTTTGTAATGATTTTCCTCAACAAGTATTCATGTAATTCTTCACTGGTGAAGAAAAGAAGTGAACGAACATGTGAGCTTTCAATACTTCCAATTGAATCATAGGAACTGGTTGCTATTGATAGGCGCCGAGTTATCCCACCACTTAAGACAGATTGATCAATATCGTCAATATATTGGCAGAATCTTAAATCCTTAAATTTTATAAGGATCATTTCACGTAGTAGGTTATGAATATGACAAACTTTAACTTCACCATCAGTGGCAAAAGAAGACACTTGCACCAAACTTCTATTAACCAACTCAGTTAAATAATGTTCTGCAACTTCCTCTAAAGTTTTTCCCTCCTCAGATTTTACAAACCCTTCAGCTATCCATTGCCAAATTATTCTATTTGATTCAACTTCATAGTCGCCAGGATACATTCCAAAATACAAAAAGCACGATTTGAGATAGTGAGGCAAATCATCATAACTTAAACTGATAATTTTTGTTATACAACTGAAAAAGGAATTCTTCTCAAGCTCTGAACTTAGATTTTGACTAAACTGTTCAAAATCATCTTTGGCTTTGCAAGATAAAAGACCAGCAACTGACACAATCACTAGTGGATTACCCTCACATTTTGCAACAATTTCAGACGATATGCCCTCGAGCTCTGGTGGACCACATCCATTAGGTTCAAATTGAAATGCCTTCTTGTGGAAGAGCCTCAAAGACTCTTTTGGAGATAGTGTCTTCAACTCATGAATGTGAACAAAAGAAGATCTCTTGCATGACATTGCAACATCCATGTTCCTAGTTGTGACTAATATCCTACTTCCTAGACAATTATCAAGTGCAGAAAATTCAATCACATCCCAAAAACATGGATCCCATACATAATCAAAGAAGACAACATACCTCTTTCGACGCAAGTAATTTCTCAATTCAAAGATCAATGAACTTCGATCCAGTGTAGAAATATTCCTAAGAAGAGCCTCATTGCTTCGCTTGCAAAAGCTTAGCAACATGTCCCTCAACAATCCTTCTGCAGTGTAGGACTGAGACACTGTGATCCATGCGGCACAATCGAAGTACTCAACCACCTTCTTGTTGTCAAAAACACTTTTGGCAAGAGTGGTTTTTCCTAACCCTCCCATTCCTACCACACATATGACAGTTCTCTCTGCCCTGCCCTTTACCAACAAATCAATCAATTCTTTTTTAGGGGCTTCAAAGCCCACAATTTCATCTTCATCCATGTAAAGAGGAGCTTCTCTAGGCGTCTTCCATGGATTGTTTTGGTTTTCTCCTGAACTGCCCACAATTTCATGAACTTCAAAGTCCACAGTTACATCTTCATCCATGTAAAGAGGAGCTTTTCTAAGCGTCTGCCATGGAATGCTTTGGTTTTCTACTGAACTGCCCACAATTTCATGAACTTCAAAGTCCACAGTTACATCTTCATCCATGTAAAGAGGAGCTTTTCTAAGCGTCTGCCATGGAATGCTTTGGTTTTCTACTGAACTGCCCACAATCAATTCTTTTGTAGGGGCTTCCAAGCCCACAATTTCATCTTCATCCATGTAAAGAGAAGCTTGTTTAGGCGTCTGCCATGGATTGTTTTGGCTTTCTCCTGAACTGCCCACAATCAATTCCTTTTCAGGGACTTCGCAGCAGTCCACCATTTTAACTACATCTACGCAAATATGAGCTGCTGCATCCATTTCTACTGAACTGCACTCTGCTTGATCTACATGAGCTGAGGTTTTGAAGCCATGATCACATGAACTGCTTTCTTTGATTGCACGAACATGTGAGTTCATGTCTCGAATCTTATATGACATGTGAAGACGAAAGATCATAGTTTTGATGAAGTTAATCGGCTCAAAAGCTACAGCTGCACATCCAGGATTCCAAGGTTGTTGCTCCTCATAGATCATATATTCATCAATGACATCTTCCAAGTGAAAAGATCCTTCTATTAACACCCTCAACCTTCTTTTGATTTCTTCATTTTTGGTGTCTTCTTCAGCTTCAATCATTCTATCTGCGTGTTGAATGAAGGCTTGAATTTTTTTTAGTTCATTTTTCATGTCCGAAACTTCATATGGGACACCCCTGATCATGTAGGCTGCTTCTGTAAATAATGGAATCAAGCGATCACGAGCAAAGGACGCCCCTTTTTCTGCCATTTTTGTAGTCCAACTCTGAGACGAGAAGAAAACACTCTCTATCGTCTTGTTTAATCGTTTTTTTTTTTCTTTTTCTTTTTCTCGCTGATGCATGGGCACGGTAGTAAAAAATACAATGTTTTTTTTATTTAAAATAAAATTATTTATTATTTAAAAATTATAAAACATATTCATTGATTTTTAAAAAATATAATTTAAAGTATTTAATAAGGCAAATTTAATATTCTTTAACATATATTTTTAAACGCGTGTTTTGAAAAATATTATTTAATGCTACTTTAATCTTATTTATAAGAAATAATAGTTGATATTATATACATTAATTGTTAAATATTTTTTATACTTATATTTTATTATAAAAATTGTATTAATGATACACTCATTCATTATTTATATAAGTAGATATATTTATTTATTTAATATATTTTATTTTATCTCTTTTACAAAGGACTTTCAAGTTTCAACTAAGTTAAACAAATTAATAAAACTAATTAAAATTGGTTAATTTTTTTATTTTTAAAAACAATTACGACATATGATAATTTTATTTTTATTTAATATTATTTTATTTAACTTTATTATAAACATTTATCCTCGTCAAACTTTATTTTTATATACTTTAGTTATATATCATTTACATTTTGAGTTTTTAAATTGTGCAACGTGATAAACGTAAATTGAATGAAAAAAAAATAGTTAATGAGACATTTAATCTAACTTTATTTAGAAGTATTTTTATTTAAAAATATATGTATGTGAGAAACACAGAGAAAATTAACAATAGAAAAAGTACAATTTGATAAGCACTGAGGGTCCTGTTGCACAGTTAAACAACCTAAGGTTTAAATTACACATTATCAAAATTATAAAAAAAATAGACTTAATGATTAAAATAATATTTTTTATCAAAATAAAATTAAAAAAAATTTATTTAAAATAAATTTTTGTTACATAAATAATAATTTTGTATTTAAATAAAATAAAATTAATTTTTTATTATTTATTTAATTATTTTGTATAAAAAAGAGACAAAACACACCATGTTAATAATTTTGTACGAAAGAGGGACGTCAATATCTCATTAAATTCGCCTACATTTGAGACGACCCGCTGGTCAACCGACTGCACCCATGAGGGCGCCCAAAAATATCCACCAGCACGTGAAACATTCACTGCTAAAAGGACAATTGGTGATGGCGCTTCTCAATCGGTGATGAATTGAGCAACTGTGTCCAAAACTCCATGAGTTTCTCAAGCTTTTGACAATCTTGACAAGATTACTTTTGTTACCACGAGTGAAATCCAACTAGCTACTGTGCAGAAGACCTTCAAGAATGCAATGGCCATAAAACAATGGTGGGTCTCGGTCTCATGCAATCAGTGCTCACAGCTCAGCATAGCGCATTTACACATTGCCCTCTCATCCCTACAAGTTCCCTTTCTTTTTCCTTTTCCATTTTTCGGCGGGCATGGATTGAAATTAATTTAAAATTAAAAAAGTAAGAGCATGTTGACTCTGTGCGAATGTTTAAAACCCCTTCTACACTTCGGTTTGGATCTGCAGGCATATACTCAAATTTTGGTGAATATTTTTGGGGGCAGTTAGTTGACCAACGGATAAACATATTTCGTCTCATTAAGTATTTCGTTCTTTTTTTTAGATGAAATGATTAAATAAATAATAAAAAAATTAATTTTATTTTATTTAAATATAAAATTACTATTTATATGGCAAATATTTGTTTTAGATAAGAAATAAGTTTTTTTTTTTATTTTAGTAATTATTTTTTAAAAAACCATTATTTTAATTATTAAGCCAAAAGAATGACACATTTTTTTTAAAGAGTTAACGATAAAATTAAATATTTTAGTAATATATAAAAAAAAATTGTACAATTTAGTAGTTATAAGACATTATGTTACATAATTTAAAAATACAATATCTAATTTACCCATGACCAAAAATATTGAATTAAAGTAGACTTTTTATTTGTATTTATTAAGAGCAAAGCAGAAAAACATAATAAATACTTCATAGAAACTATAAAGTGAGTATAATAACAATTTAACTGATTTAACACTTGAATAATTCTATTGTATAATATAAATTTTTAATATTACCTTTTATTTGATCATAATAAATTAAATATTAATTTATTATAAACAAGATGTATTTATTTAACAAGTTAGATCTATGTATATAAAATTACAAATGTTTATATATTACCTTAATCAAAGCTACAAAAATTCAACGGCTTGTGATGTCCCGTGTGTGACTTATCTTATCTCCTCCTTCCTTTCTTGTTATCTTTAATCTCCCATTAAGTTTTCATGCCCAATTCACCCATTTCTCTTCAAAACCATATAAGCTATCAAGACTAGTAGAAACTCCCACTATGCTAATTTGCTCATATCCAAGTTGCTTACGAGTTTAACCAATTAGAATGATTTTTTAAATTTTAATTAGAAGTTATTTTTTGTTTGTTTACAATAATAAAAAGTATTTATTTTATTTTAGTGAGTAATTATAATTTCAGCTTTTTTTTTTTCTCGAAACTATTCAACACAACTTCTCTTAAAAAGCTAAAATTAGATTATTTTTGGCTTCTAATTTTTCATAATCTTAATCAAACAATAAAAAGATTTAGAAGTGATTTTTTTAAATTTTTTATCATGAAAAAAATCTTAAACAAATGGGCAGTTCGTGTGTTACAACAAGAGGTTATAATTCATTTAGACTTTGGTAGTTGATTTCGAAAGGAAAGAGAATGTTTATATGATGATTGTTTTTGTTTTGGAGTTTTTAATGAGAAAGGATAATTTATAAACATTTTAAATCTCATATGTTTGAATTTATCTGATTTTGAGAGTTTTGTATTGACATTCTTTCTCTTTTTCTTCTTTACCTATCAAATTCTTACATTTTTTCTCTTCAAACAAAGCCTTAAGTATAAATATACGCACACAATAATTTTAACACTTCTATTTTAGTCATTTAACACATTTCAGAACAGTTATATTTAAAAATATATATAATTTAATTAACTAGGAATAAACTATAAATTTTCAACAAGTTTACTAACTACAAGTTATAAATTTTTAGTTATTATTATCAAATGCATTCTAAAACCACCAATTCCAGACTTTAAACCTCCCAAACTTTTTCTTAGCTTTTCTAATTTGAGAACCAGTCACTTTAGCTCAAAGCTATCTTAACATGAGTTTTAAGGAAAGTAAAGGTATTGGGGATTCAATTTAAATAAATTTTAAGGAAAAATATTCTGATTAATTATAAACAAACTTAATATTTGCTTGAGTTGAACAAGCTTACGAGAAAAATGGCCTTTCTTAATTGTTACAGCTACCAAGACTAGCATGGTCTCTTTAAGCAAACAAAACAATATTCTCTCTATTCCACGTCTATTTTTATTTTTCTTTTCAGCTATTTTCAAAGATTTTACTGTTTTAGAAATATAAGATTAGTTTACTTTTTTTAATAAATAATTTTTTCTTAAAAATAAATATTTATGATTTTGTGTATAATAAATAATTATATTTTTAATAAAATTTAATTAGTTTTAGATGCATAAAATCAGTCATTACTTGTTTAAAATTAAATATAATTTAAGAATTCCTTTATTTTAATGTGTAATAAAATTGTGAAATATAAGATTTATTAATAATAAAATATTATATTTTTTTATAACCATTAAATGTAAATTTAAAGGCAGATATTTCTGCTGCACAGAAAGAATTTAAGTTGGTAATCTTGAACAACAAAAGATTATATTATAATTTTTTAACAAATTTTAAATCATTAATTAAAATTTATTAAAAAATAGAAAAAAATGAGAAATATTAATTAAATTATAAATGATAATAGTTAAATTAAGAGTAAAATTTATATTATTATTTTTACTTTTTTAATAAATTTAATTAATTATTAAAAATGTATTTAAATGACACGGTACTTCGAAGTAATCATTATTAAGTTACAGTTAGAAAATATCTGAATCCAATTTGCAGAATAAATAGTAAAGAATGACCATAAACTCAAAAGTCTTCCTCTCACAGTCTCACTGTGAGCAAGTGTTGAAGGAGAAAAAGCTTAACTTACATGATAGATCAGAGTTCAAAACAATACTAAAATGCAGGAGTTAGGGAAACATACAGTGTCATGCCTCTCTGATTTGGTTATCAAAGTAGCTGACACAATCCGCAGTGTCCCAAAAGAAATTCAGAGCATTAAAGGTGATCTAAATCGCATTCAAGCCTCTATAGTAACTGCAGCTAAAGAAGACCAAGATGTGATGAAGGAGATGAAAGAAACTGTTTTCAGCATAGAAGACATCATTGATGACTATGAGAGTTCTAGAGGATGGGAGTTTCATGATTTTGGATGTACAACTTTGCCACATGAGACTGCAGACTTGGTGAAATCTATGATGATTCATTTGGAAATAGCATGGAAGATTAAGAGTGTTAAGTCACAAGTTGAAAAGATTGAGGCAGCACAAGCAAGAAAGAAAGCAGAAGCTGCATCCAAAATCAAGCCTTCTTTGGAGCAAACAACAAGCCATTACAAAGGAAACACAGACCTCTCATGGAAGAATCTTAGGGAGCTTCCTCTTCACATGGAAGCAACTGAAATTGTAGGCTTGGAAGACCATTTTATGAAATTTTGTGACTGGTTGGAAGATAAACAACCAAAGTGTACTGTCATCACTGTGGTAGGAATGGGAGGGTCGGGAAAAACCACTCTTGCTAGGAAAGTCTTTTATAACTGTGAGGAGACTAGGAGCTTTGAGTGTGAAGCATGGATCACGGTGTCGAAGTTTTCCGACAGAGAAGAAATGTTGAAGGATATGTTGAGGCAGTTTAATAAACGAAAGCCTCGTGGAGAAATGTCAAGGGAAGAGTACTTGAAGAAAACGAGGTATGTTGTTTTCTTTGATGATGTGTGGAGAGAACAATTTTGGGAGGAAATTAAATTTTCTCTAGAGAATAAAAACCCTGGAAGCATGATAATTATCACAAGCAGGAATAAGAAAGTTGTGAACACTTGTATGAGATCTTGTTCTGGTACAGTTGAAGTGCTTGAAATGGAACCTTTAACCAGAGATGAATCTTTGAAGCTGTTCCATAAAACGGCATTCCTAAATGACCCTGAGGGTCCAGAGAGACACAGGGATATATCTTGTATGATTGTTGAAAAATGCGTGCATTCACCACTAGGAATTTTGGCCATTGGTCGCGAAGTTGCTGCTGATAGAAAATTTCCATTGGAATGGGAAAGGCATATTAAAAAAAATGCAGACATGACAAAAATACTAAAACTAAGTTATGATGATTTGCCTGAATATCTTAAACCATGTTTCTTGTATTTTGGAATGTATCCTGAAGATCATGAAGTAAGATCGGAGAGATTAATTCGGCAGTGGATAGCAGAAGGGTTTATAATATCTGAGAAGAGGAAAACGTTGGAGGAAGTAGCCAAAGAGTATTTACAAGAGTTGATTGATAGAAGTTTGGTGCAGGTGTCTTCATTCAACATTGATGGCAAAGCTAAAAGTTGTAGCATTCATTACCTTGTACGTTCTATGATCCATAGAATATTCGAGGATTTAAGTTTTTGCCAGTTCATTGGTGAAGATAGCAGGTTAGACAAGGAGGATATAATTCGGCGCCTATCAATAGCAATCAGTTCAGGAGGAGGATTAGATGTATTAACAAACTCTGCTTCATCTACTGATTCAAAGGAAAGGATTGTATATTCATTCATGAGGTCCTTGTTGCTTTTCACCAAAAAAGAATTAGATGTTTCTGAATACACAAGGAGAATCTTTATGAAATGCACACAATTGAAAGTACTTGACTTTGAAAATTCTCTGTTGCGTGATGTTCCTGACATTATTGGAAATTCAATCAAATTGAAGTATTTAAGTTTCAGGAATACTAATGTAAGAAGTCTTCCATATTCCATTGCAAAGCTGGAGAACCTTGAGACTTTGGATCTAAGGCAAACACAAGTGAAAATGATACCCAATGAGGTTAGCAAGCTTAGAAAGCTACGACATCTTTTAGGGGATGATATATCTTTGATTCAATTGAATGATGGTATTGCAGACATGAAATTCCTACAAACACTATATAGCATAAAAATAGATGATGATGGTGATGGATTGAAGCTAATTGAAAAGCTAGGAAAGCTAGAGCAAATAAGGCATTTGGGATTGAGTAATGTTATGAAAGAACACGGAAGCGCAATATGTTCCTCGTTGAATAAAATGCAAGACTTGGAGAAGCTACACATTGTTGCAAAGGATGAAAATGAAATTGATTTACAAAGTATGGAAAAGCGATCTAATCTTCGAAAGCTACACCTGCAAGGGAAGTTAAGTAGAGTACCAGAATGGATTCGAGAGCTTCAAAATTTTCATCAGTTGGTCTTGTCCATGTCCAAGTTAGCTAATGATCCGTTGCTTTTGCTGACAAATATTTTAAATTTGAGGTCCCTCTCGATTATCCATGAAGGTTATGAAGGTGCATGCTTGCATTTTCATGATGGAGGATTTCGCTATCTAGAGGAGCTAGAACTTGGATCTTTACATAGCTTGAAGTCCATCACTATTGACAGCAAATCACTGCCATCACTGAAAAAGATCAAGTTAAGGGATATCCCTCAATTGAAGGAGGTACCCTCTGGCATCAAACATTTGAAGAATCTTGAAGATCTCAATATTGAAAAAATGAAAGCTGAATTTGAGAGTATGATTGGTGATTACTTGAGACAAGAGCACTCTATCATCCAACATGTGCTCCGTGTAATAGTTAATGGCAAGCTTGTTAAGGATGAGAAACCTCAGAAATAAAAGGTAAGTTTTTCATACTTGATATCTACCACATGATAATATTTTTTTGTTTAGGGTGCATTTGGATATATAGGCATATAGCTTAATTAAGTACTTATTTAATAAGTTCTTTTTAAATGATAACTTATGACATAAATTTAATTGTGAAACTTATTAGAATAAGTTGAACATAACTTATTTTGAAAAATTATACCAAGAAACTCATTGAAATTAGCTAAAAGGAGGTCATGAGAATCATAAATTATTTTCAAAAGTCATCTAAACATGTTCAGTCATAAAACACTGTAATATTTATCTAATTCCTAAAACATTTTCCTTATTTTTGCCTCTCTTTCTATTTTTCTGTTTTAATATTTTAAAATTATTCTACACTACTAATTAGAAACAATAAATTAAGATATTTCAAGGCATTGTCCCGGTTTCCCTTGAGTTTTGTAGTTGCAAACTTTCATTGTAAATAACCTTGCATTTGTAACAAGGCTTTGTAATCATATTGTGCTCTGAATTGGTTGGTGCTAGGTAGGCTACTGGTGATATGGAAATTCAGATTCTCCATGATGGCATTTTTCTATTCTTGCTGTGGCACTTAGTCCCCAAATAAAGAGACTACATGGAGTTGTCTTTCTTTAATAAAGGAGGAAGAAGCCTTTAAATGAACGAGTGATTCAAGAAATTTCCTTTTTGATTAAACTCATTTGTGGTGTATCATTAATGCTAGACGTTATGACTTTGTAATCCTTTATGCCTTTCCTTTTTGGAATGAGAAAACAAAAGTTTCATATAATTTATTCGCTTTTATAATTTTTCCTTGCTTATTTAATTCTATTTTTCTGTGAAATTTTCCTCTCTATCTACTCGTTGTCTTGTGGATATGTTCATTCATTACACCAGAATTCCCAAGAGAGTCAGAGACGTGGGTGTTACCTAAAGTTTCTCCTTAAAAATCCCATCTCCTTCAGGGTAATTAATAAGATTAATTTCACAGCAACAGTAATTAACGTACAGAGATTGATGAAATAGAGAAAACTTGTATTGATCAAACTGAAAATGGAAAATTACAGAAGGAAAACTCCTCCTCTACCCAGAGCCTAACTCCTAATAGAGTAACCACCCTTCTCTCTTATCCTAAGGCCTGGCCATCCTCCTCATTTTTTTCACTCACTAGGATTCTTCTCAACTATTTTGGCCAAAGGTTCCACGGGCCCAGCTTCTATTTGGGCTCTATCAGTAATCCTTCCCAAATAACAAGCTCCAACTGATAAATTTTTTTATCGGTTCATTTACTCAAGCTTGGAAATTTGGAAGTTCAATAAACCAACTGGCCTGATTGTTTTAAATTGTAACTCCATTTGCTAGAACAAATTTTACCCATCTCTTTAATGTGCATGTAGTACTTGTTTGATTCATCTCAAGTCTCAACCATAGATTTTACTTCGTAAAGCAAGTTTTACTGACTGAACATAAATCCAAACAAGCACTAAAAGTATTACTCTGCAAAAAAAAGGTTTTTCTGACATATTTTATAAGAAATTAATAAATACTAAATTTTTATCAAAAATTGTAACATTTAATGTTTTTATGCTTTAAATTCTATGATATTTTATAATTTATAATAAAAGTTCACAATACCTTAACACATTAGAAAAGCCGAAAAAAAATATCAGTCATAACACAATTTATTTTATCCAAGTACAATCAGATCCACAAAAACCAACTTCAATTTCCTCCAATCTCAGCATCTTGTTATAACAAATTTTTTTTTTTATCTAAATACCAGTCAATAAACTAGTTTAAAGGTTAGAATGCAGGACCAGATAATACAGTTTTTTTTTCGCCTAGTTTTGTGACCAGATATAGCATTAGTGAATGAAATATCCACGAGAAAAAGATTAGGCAGAGGAGACTTAACATAAAACGATAGCAGAATAACCAAGAAAATGTTTAGAAATGAAAAGAATTACATGAAATTTCTTTCCTTATTACAAGTTTGAAAGGCATATAAATTCAACATAATATAAAGTCTTACAATCCTTGAAAGAGAAACTCTCATAACATGCATGTCGTTTACACGATACAACGACATTGTTGTGCAAGGCTACACGAAGAATCTGAATTTCACAGCATTGGAAACCTTGCACCTACAAATTCAAAGCACAATATTATCATAGAGAATTAAAATGAAAGGCTTACAACTACATACCTCTTGCAAGGCCAGAATAATACCTTGTAATTTCTTATTATTGATTAATTTTATAACTTTAGTGTTGCAAAACAAAATAAATAAATAAAGCATATGTCAGAAGAGAAGTGAGCCCAAAGTAGATGAATAAGATAATAAACACTACCAAGAATGACTCAGTTTGGGTAAGCTTTTGAAAAAGCACTTATAGGGAAAGAAATTATAGAGATAAAACAAATAAAAGTATTTTTATAAGTTAAAATCATGTTATACATAAGGAGCATAAGTTGATTTTAACTTATAAGAGAAGTTTGATTCATTTTTCTTCTTTATTTTGTGTATAAGTACTTATTGAGAAGTTAATCCAAATTGAGCCAATATCATTATGCAGATAATATGAAGAAAAAAATCAAACCTCTTTTTGCCAAAGGTTCTTATCAATAGCACGCACTGCTAAATAATTCTTGCGAAGGGCACATTGGCAACAATGTTCTGCTCAAATTCAGTTGGCATATCCTGAATATTGAGAACTTTAAGTTTCTTTAAGTGATAAATGCCAGAAGGTTCCATCTTCAGTTTGGGGATATTCTTCAACTCAAGCTTTTTGAGAGACTGCAGTGCTCCTTCGCCAATAAAGATGGAACTTAAGCTATGCAAAGATTCAAGTTTAAGTTCCTTTAGTCTTTGAAATTCTCCAGCTCGAAATTGTAAACTTTTGCCTTCATAACCTTCATGGACAATAGATAGGATCAATAAATTTGTGTTGGGAAAATTACGCCGAATTTTCTTGTAATGTCAGATTTGTGGAAGTGAAAAATAAATGTGGAATATTGCACACACAAAATTAATAACGGAGTTCGGCCAATAATGCCTACGTCTCCGGACTGCTGCAGATATATTACTGAAAAGGGAATACACTCATGTTTACAAAACACTCAAAAATGACTCACAACCATTCACAACCCGTAACCCAATTGTATCAGAAGCTAAACTATTTTCTCTGTTTTTGCTCTCTGAATATTTTCAGTTGTTCTCTCAGAAATGGGATGCGTAAAATGGATGGAAGAGCTTCATATTTATAGGCAAATGAAACTTTTGATTTTCAACAAAACGCGTTGGCACCGAATTCGCAACGCGTTTGGCACCGAAAACGCTAACATTCAACCGAATGTTAGGTACCGAAAATTGGCACACCATTTTTGACTTTTCAACAATCTCCCACTTGAAGACTGATTTCAATCTGTCTTCACACTTCAATCAATGCAGCAGTCTTTTCATGATCTGTTATTCTAGCAGGCCAACTGAAGTTGAACACAACTTCAGTTTGTCAATGGTCACCACCTTTGTTAGCATGTCTGCTGGGTTCTTGCTTCCTACAATCTTTTTCAATGTCAGCACCTCATCCTTAAGCAGAGATCTGATGAAGTGATAACGTATATCAATGTGCTTGGTTCTAGAGTGAAATGCTGAATTTTTTGCCAGATGTATTGCACTCTGACTGTCACTGTGCAAAACACTCCTCTCTTGGATGAATCCCAGCTCTGTTAACAAACCTTGAAGCCATATCAACTCTTTACTGGCTTCTGTTACTGCTACATACTCAGCTTCTGTAGTGGATAAAGCAACAATCTTCTGTATCCGCGACATCCAACTAACAGCTGTAGTACCAACAGTAAAAATGTAACCGGTGGTACTTCTTCGGTGATCGACTTCACCTCCAAAGTCTGCATCTACATAGCCTTGTACTTTTAATTCTCCTTTTCCAAAGTACAAACACTTCTTTGTTGTGCCTTGTAGATACCTCAAAATCCACTTGACTGCTTCCCAATGAGCTTTTCCTGGATTTGCCATAAACCTGCTTACAACTCCTACTGCATGGCCAATGTCTGGCCTAGTACATACCATTGCGTACATCAAACTTCCAATGGCTGAAGCATATGGAATCTTAGCCATGAAGTTTCTTTCTTCCTCCGTCTGAGGGGAATGATCCTTGGATAGACGAAAATGACTGGCCAAAGGTGTACTGACTGGCTTGGCCTTATCCATGTTGAATCTGTGCAAAACACGGTTGATGTACTCCACCTGAGATAACTGCAAAACTCCTTTTTGCTTATCTCTATTTGCATTCCAAGAATCTTCTTTGCTGGGCCTAAGTCCTTCATGTCAAATTCTTTTGACAACTGCATCTTTAAATTTCTGATGTCTTTCATATCTGATCCTGCTACTAACATGTCATCAACATAAAGTAGTAATATGATATAACTGGACTTATACCTCTTGAAGAAACAACAGTGATCAGCATTGCACTTCTGGAAACCTTCCTTGTGCATAAAGCTTTCGAACTTCCTATACCACTGTCTAGGAGCTTGTTTCAGGCCGTATAAGCTCTTTTTTAATTTGCACACCATATCCTTCTTTTCTTCTGAAAAACCTTTAGGTTGGTGCATGTAGATCTCCTCATCTAGGTCTCCGTGAAGAAATGCAGTCTTCACGTCTAATTGCTCTAGGTAGAGCTCTTCACTAGCCACAATACTTAACACAGTCCTGATAGTATTGAGCTTTACAACTGGAGCAAAGATCTCAGTGTAGTCAACTCCTTCTTTATGCTGAAATCCTTTGACAACCAGTCTGGCTTTGTATCTCCTGGAACCATCATGGTCTTCCTTCACTCGATACACCCATTTGTTGTGAAGTGCTTTCTTTCCCATAGGTAACTTGACTAGTTCCCATGTCTGATTGGAGATTAAAGACTTCATGTGACACCTTTACTACTTACTAAGCAATAAATATAAATATAATCATAAAATAACCAAGCAGTAAGAACATCACATGCATGGGTCTATATCTATTCAGATATAGTGAAATTAAATACACTACCATTACTAGAAGTATTCATTTCATATATACACATCATCTGTTAATTTATACAATCATCCAGTTATCTAAATATATACATAACTGAATTACATACAAACTAAAGTGGGGTCACGATATCAGAGACGACAACCCAAAACGAAGACCTCACGAGCTTTCCCCTGGATCCCTGATCACCAAAGTGCCCATTTCCTTCCAAAATTCAACAACGGTAAGGTTAGGCTTCCTATATACCCATTTTTCTTTTCAGTCAAAAGTACTTACACCTACGTATATATATATATTATCCCTTACTCGACTCTAACCCACTCTCCTTTTTCACTAGATTCCTACTCAGAGGGGGCAAAATTAGGAAGGAGTCATGCTTGAGAAGCAGTCCTCTTCCTTCTGATAGCAGTAGAGGTGTTTGAACAGTAAGAAGAATCAGGAGAGTCTGAAGAACTAGAGGAAGACGAAGAGGAAGTGGATGAGATAGAGATAGGTCTTGCTAAAAGTGTGTCAACTAAACTAGTTCGTTCAACAGGTGGTAAATATGGTATAGAAGGACGTAAAGGTCTAAGAAAACCTGGGGGTAATACCGGAGGTGATAATACAGGAACAGGAGGTGGGGTAGGGGGTCTCACAAATTGTACATCTGGAGGAAATGGAAAAGTAAGTCTCATGGGTACTCAGATGGGGATAGGGTAAGCTCGTGGGCCTGGGCCATTTCTATCTAACAAAAAG